TACTGGAATTGTTCGAGCCGCCAAGTCTACACACACAGCACCTACGTCCGATCAGATAAATGCTTCGTAATGATTGCTTTTGTGCTATAACTGTTGTAAACGTGGTTTTAGCTGAAAAAATAAAAACACATTGTTTATTGCTTGCCAAGAACAGAGATAAGAACATCTATCTTATTGCAATCTATGCAGAAGAAATATTTACATGTAAGCAAGCTGTCGATAAAGTGTTCGAAAGTTACACATGCAAACCAATTAAAGTCGCAAGTTCTTCGTGTGTACAACTAACGGAAATAACTTTTGAGCTTGATTCGCACGTTCCTCCAATATTTACCAGTTGTCGGTCCTGAACGTTACAACTATGTGTGGGGAAGTTTCGTTCCTTATGATTGCATGTACTTGGCGATAAACACGATTCTCTATCGCAACTACGATGAATGAGCCGGGAAAAAATCTCATTCGACTGAATCAATCAATCTGCAATTCTCTTTTCACCATGCTTTCATCACCATTTCAAAATGGTTAGATCAATTTACGGTAATTCATCTTTACAAGTCATAGTATATCATATAGAGTACTTTAAATCTTCTTTTTGTTGGATTTTTGTAGCCCAACGAGCGGCTGTCCAATACATGAATGTAGTAGTTGTTTTCGAGATACTGCCGTGTTTCTAAATGCTTACCTGCTAAGTAAAATACAATGAACTGGAAAAGAAATAATATTAATTAAAAATATTGACTCTGTCCGAAAAGGAGCCACTTATTACAGCTATTCCAAAATTAATAAGATACCACAAAACAATACAACATTTTAAAAATCGAAAACAATTCAAACGGTAAAGATCGTTGATAAACTATTGCCTATAATAACTCGATGCAAACATTTACCGAGATCGTGCATGAAAACTAATCTAATATATCCAGTATACATTGAAAGTTATGCTCTTCGTTACACGATTTATTTTTATTTTGCATCTATCTTGAATAGATTCATTTAACATTCGCTTCCGTCTCCCATAATTAGGGACACGTAAAAAAGCCTAACTTTTCGGCACGTATCATTTTCGCCAAGATGAAAAACGGTGTGTCGTGTTACGACTACAAACAAAGCCGGTCAAAAAAAGCGCATATTCACAACATTGCGTTAGGTAAACTGCGTTACGCTATAATAATCATAACATTCGTGCAGGTTGTTTGTTGCGTAGTGCATATACCCTTAAATGCTATTCCGCTTTAATTGTTCGTGTAATTCGACTAGGGATCTGAGTTATAATTGGATATACACTTCACGCGATCCGCCATCGTGATAATTTTGGCCGCATAAGAAGCTTGCACAGATGATGGCAATACCCTGTGTGCTAATTTGGGCGAGGCACTAGATGAAACCCATTATATTTCTATATCTAGTCTATAGCGGTATCGCTTGAAACAAGTGCGGTAAAGCAGTCCCTGATGCTTACGTTACAGGATATTCAAGCTAGTGCGAGTATCACGCAGCTGTTTATATTACTCGTTGCACACGCGAGATCGTTTGGACTCTGGCGTTTCCTCTAAGCGTGAGGACGTACTCGATTGAAATAATTCCTGTGTTGTTGTTATTATTATTCATATTGTTGTATACATATATAGTAGTGGACGTAGGGTGCGAATCTGTACAAATGTACCGAGGCTATATTATCTACCAGTCGGCAAAAAAAAAATAAATTAACAACTACACGTTTCTAAAATGCATATGCAGTTTTGACCAGTTTCCTAGGTGCTCCCCGATTTTCGCGGCACAGACGTAAACACTTATGAGTAGGCTCACCGGTTTTGTATATGTCTTTTCATGCCTACAGATAATGAAATATTGACCGCCTTCTACCCATATGCACCTAATAACTAAATACAGTAGCGCTAAATTACTCAGTATCTTAATTACCTCAACGATGAGACACAATGCTGGAATGAATATCAGCTTCATTTTTATCTCATTATTCCATACGAATTGACGTGCTGTAGCACGAAGCCATATCAATCCTAAACTTCGCTTTTAGGCCTGTTACCCCACGAATTCTGTCTTTTCATATATTGAGGGCGACTGCATTATGTCGACCACTAAACCCTCGACCTCGTGCTTCTAAGCTTCAGTTCAGAACTTGGTTTTTAGTATATTTAATGGCAGGACCAAGGCTTACAGGGACAGCCACCCGTAATACACTACTGTAACTCCACCAGTCCAGATATGTTCCAGCCGGTCCGTCTGTCGCGTTCACCTCCTCACTAGCCGCATTAAATCTCAAGTGTTTTTATTTCCCATTTTTCCTCAAATTTGTTCTGTTACGCTCCAACGAGTACAAAAATCCCCCTTCACCAGAGAAGTCAAGTAGCCCGCCATGGATACAAACACCCTTAGTCGACCACTATTCAGATGCGCTTCGCCATACAAACCCGGCATCATCTTGTTTCCGGGTGCGACAGCCCTTGGTGCAGCAGACGACTCGCCAACAGCGAACAACGAGACGAGTCCGAAAAGCTGGCGCCAACGAGCTTATACTTATTTAGCAGCACTGAGTCATTCATTACTATGATTGCTTGCTAGTCAATAGACAGCGCCGTTTTATGTAACCTGCAACAACAGTGGCGGCGGCGGCGGCGGCAGCACCAACAACCTTATTATTGTCACCAAAGGCAGCGCCGAAATGGTATGCAACGTGGACTGGCGCCATCTTGAATACTGACGCATCGGAGACGACGACGACGACGACCGGGAGGCTGCTCCTGATCACAGCAGGGCCATCAGCGACGAGAGCAGAATGGCGGAGCAACGAGGCAGGCACGGCAGCAAACGGCGCCCCCGCATCAACGATGGGAATACTGCCACATCACGGGTGGTAGCAGCGGCCGCATCCGCACGAGCATGATCATGATCATAATCGACGGCCGCAACAACAGCCACCAATTGGGCTTATACAACAGTAAGCGTCTAGCTCTGGCTAATAACAGCAAGAACACAACATGACTTGTTAACGTAGGCAGTGGCAATGGCTGCTGCTACTGCCACCGCCACCGTACAGACGAACAAACCAGCCGACGTAACCAGGAGCAACTCCTTTACACTGTTACAGTCCCTAAATGACGCTGTGGCCGGTGCAAATAGCCACAGCTCGAGTGGGTATCGACCAACGGCGACGACCGACGTCGTTGCGAATGCAAGAGGGAGAGTAGGCAAAAAACAACAGAGGCGGTTAATTGGGCAGTGGACATTGGATCGGGTTATGTCTTAAGGAACTGATTGGGTTATATACGCGTGGGTCTTTTTTTGCGAATCGACACAGAAAGAGAAGGCAGGTCCCATTTGGGAAATATGACAAAACGTAGGAGGACTAAGAAGGTTGGTAAAATCGAAGCAACATAATACTGAAAACATTCTGCGGCAGATATATAATTATTCGGCTGGTGTTTTGTGTGCAAGCTAAATCAACCTCCTGTCATTATCATCGCCGTCGTGGCTCTTTTCGCCTCTCCGTACGCCGTACGCTTGGCAGATTGCATTACCCAATAACATCGTAGCTATGAGAGCACACGCAAAACGTGGCTATATCGTGTTATATATGCATCGATCTGCAACAAGCATCTATTGGACCAGGTAGCCGATGTAACACGACTGTCGTATTTCAGTTAACAACACCTTCTAACTATAATATTGTTTACAGAATTACATCCATGGTACAACCACTGTCTATCGCCATCAGAATTGTGACCATTGCCATGGCGCGTCGTGCTGTTCATCAGTAACCACCAATGTTCAGTCGACACTGACGTCCCCGCTGCCGCCGCCCTTGTTGCCACCGACGATCATTTCACTCAACAGAAGCAACAGCAACAGTCCGTATGGGTTATCGCGGGCGAGCGCAGTTACTAGCATATCGGCAGAATAAAAGCGGAGATTCTTTGTTCTTGGCTGTTGCCATTTGTTATGCCCATACTAAGCTCACTTCGTTGATTCGTGAAGGTCTGTGAAAACAGCCATTTGTACAACAGGCATTAGAGAGCAACGACAATGGCTAACAACGAGATTCAACAAGCGTCTTTTCGCACATGTTTGGATGCCAACCAGTCAGCATTCTGCGCAAGCTGCGATTGTGATCGCTGCGTACGCAAGCACTCGCAGTACGGTTCAGTAGGGGGAGAGAGAGCGAGATGGGGGGACTCAAAGCTATACACAAAAAAGTTGGAATAAGACAAGCAAAAGCCTGCATTTACTATTTATTCAGGTCATTTGAGATTTTTAATCACCTCACTCGCGCCAAAATCAGAACACTGGGGCAAAGAGCAAGAATTCTGTACGGGCGGCTACTTGTTGCAGTGTTGGCCGACAGCTACCTACGTAACGAGGACTTATTACTGTAATAAGTGTACTTTCTTATCTCTCTTTCGAATAAGCTCTAAATGCCGTTCGACACATGCTTCGCGCCACCGATTCGTCGTTGCTTCCCTGTTCACGGACGGAGCCGCTCGCTCCGCCTGTCCTCTGTCTCTTCGCTTATTTCGTGCCTCGTCTTTCTCCCGTGCTTGTGCGCGTGTCTGTGAACTGGGTCGTGTGTAGATCGCCTTTGGGATTGCTGTTAATGGCGACAGTGTTGTCTGCGTTACTTGCTGCTGCTGCTACTGCTGGCGCCGCTGCTGCGGCCACCGTCTGCTCTCGACACGCCGGCGTCCCTCGTGTGGCTGCCGCTGTCCGCCCCACTGATGTTGGTGCCACTGTGAGCGAAACGAGGAGACAAACAGACGACGAAACGAGAGGCGACGACGACAAGCCACTAGCAATTGGGCCAGCGAGAGATTAGCGAAGACTAGGCACAACGACGGTGCGGCGGATCCCGCCAACAGCTAGAAACAGCAGCGACAGCAGCGGCCTGCCGCAAACAAGGCGGTCGCCAGCGACAGCTAGCGATGATCGAGCAGCTAGCCTGAGTGAGTTGGGAGTGCGCGTCGTCGGCAGCCTTGCTAGATACACGAATCCTGACATAGACAGCGGCACGGCAAAAGCTAGCGACTGCAGTTAGCCCCAGCAGTAGTGGCAGTAAGTGGCGAGCTTAGGTGTTGGTGACTGTGGCGTACTATCCTGATGCTGCTGATGCCGATGCAGGCGATCGTGGTGGGTTCGTTAAGTTGGTTAAAGATATTTGATTGTCGAGAAGGCGGCGACGGCAGCAGCAGCAGCAGCACGGAGTTCGCGGCGTTGTTGTGAGCTTGCAAGCATCCGAGTTTTGCGCTGTTACTACGCCGTTCGTGGTACGCTGACGGTGGTGTGCGATTCCGTTTGTGGTTTGCATCGCCTTGGTCCGTTCGCCCATTTGGCCGCTCGTCGTGTGAGTAGTCTGCCCCGGCGGTTGACGCAGCGTGTTGGCGTGCGAGGCGAGTCAGCCGCACCAGTTCCATTCTCGCATTTTCATCATATTCGCCGTCGTCGTCGTCAACACCGTCACCGTCACCTGCCCGGCGGAATTTGCAACCCTTGAGAAACAGCAGCAGCAACAGCAGAAATTGCAGTTGTAGTAGTAGTAGTAGTGGTGATTTGCAGCAGCGGCAGTAACAAAGAGCGTATGGTGTGGTATAAGCGGGAGGCATTGCAGCTAATGCAATCCTGTCGTTTGTACTGTTAACGGTTTGGTAAACACCAATCATCGGTTGTGCTATACAGGCAAATTGCGACTAGGCAGCATTCGCTTGTAATAGAAATTTGATTGTTCGTGGTGACCAGCGCAGTTTTCGTCATTGTGTGATCGTTTGCTTAACCGGCTGTTTCCGTCACCACCGTTGCCGGACAACCCCAAAACGCCGGTGTGCACTATACAGCGTCAGTGAGCGAAATCGATAAAGAGGCAGGACCAGTAGCAGTAAATACATACACAAAATATACGTGAAGAGATGGCCGAACGCGAGGACAACGTCTACAGGGCCAAGCTTGCCGAGCAGGCCGAGCGGTACGACGGTTAGTACAAGTATCAACAAGGAGCCGTATCACCCATTAGGATAGGTAGCCAAACAGAAATAACAACAGGGACATAAGTTAGCTCACATTTCTCTGATCATACGTTCAGCCTAGTATAACTAGAACGATTAGAAACGTGATAATGGAAAAAATGATAGTCATGTTGACTAAATTATGATCAAGCTAGGTTACGCTCCAGAATAACATTGAGCAATTATGTTAGGTTGAATGTGTAGTTAATTGTAATACTATGCGATTAGACCGTGATCGGATGTAGTATCTATTATATCAGAGGTGTCCATTATCGATAAACAGCTAGTTAATCATAAAAATAGTTATAGATGCCCTATTTACATAGCTCAGCGTGCACTTTTCCATCGGATACCTTCCCGGCTCTTTAGTGGCTGAATGGGTGCGACTCCGTAAGCGTGTTACGTCGACCTCGTGCGCGTCTTCGAAGTTCAACTAACATTTTCCGTAATGGACATAAAAAATAAGCATTACAACACGCAGCCGGTGGTACCAGTAACCGGCCAGTGGCACAAACTAGACGGCGAAAAAAGCAATTCGGTCGTTGTGAACAACAACAGCCAGCATCAATGGCAGCTTTGGTAACAGCCCAGCATGGAGTGAGGTCGATGTCAGTTAACCGAGGTCCTCCTGCAGGTTGCTTCGTTACGTCGCTGGACCAACAGAGCAGATGTTAGCTTGAATCTACCCTCCTTTTTGAGCGCTGCGGCAAACAGAAAGCCTTGCCGCAATGGAGGGCTGCTCAGTCGTAAGGCTGATCATATAGAACAGACTTGGCAGACGGAGAGGAAATGGAATTGGGATTAGAAATGTGTATGTAGATTCGTAGAAAAATTGAGTGGTTCGCGATTACCAAAGTTTAAATGAGAATTTTCGGTAGTCACTGTGCGCCTTCGGCAAAACCTAGAAACCAGCACGGGAGGATGGCAGACGGTGAGACAGGATGCATATAATGGTTGGACTATAAAGAAAATTGCGAAATGTTACCCTTTTTCTACCTCTGCCATCACTGCTTCTTTATCTTTTAACAAATGTTTTTGATATCGATGTTGTGTCTGTTAGCTTCCACTCCCCTCACCCTTAACCGATCATCAGAAACGTGACAGAGGTTGTCACAACAAGCAGAATCCTAACTAGCCAACTTGCTGTGATTATTCATAACTACCATTATCACCAATACATAATTCACGCGAATCTACTAGTGCCGGTGTTTAATACGAAGTTGTAACAGCAACATAGCGTGTTTTTCTTAAGCGTGAGCAACTGTTTCCCGTCCACTATCCGCTAACGCAATCGTTATGCAGCCGTTGATGTACTTGCTCGTTCAGCAGCCGACACTCTCATATCTGCTGGCGCGCCGTTGGTTCGTTTGGTTTCATTCGGTTCGGGTGACAGTTGGCCGATTCGATTTGTCGCCTCTCTGTAATACCAGCAACAAGGTGCCGGTAAGCAATGTGGTAATCGCCAGTTGCTTGGCAGCTACCGACCTCGCTGTCCTCGTTTGTGGTAGAATCAGAAGGAGCGGCAGCGCAGGTGTATATTTTAGAACTACCATTGCTACGATAACTAATGTAGGGTTAATAATTCATCACTGAGGGCATCGCCGGCATCTGCCGTTGCCCCGTCGCCGTCACAGTCCGATGATCGCCGATTTTGTCGTCTTTGCCGCTACCGCAGCGGTGCTAACTATTGCTGTCGACGCGTCGCCGTAATTCTGCTGCTGCCTTTGGCCTCATATTTATGCCACGGTACCCAATCCACCGGTCGCCATGCCACTACGCTGCTGTTATGGCCCTGATCTCGTGCGCGGTTCCGTTTCAGTGTCTTCTGCCGATATCCATGCCCGGCTCAAAAAACGAGTAGTCTACTGAGGAAAGCTAGTGGATACCAGTAAATAGTGGCTAAAAGTAGCAAGGGTATCACTTGCAAATGGTGCTTGCAGCAGGTCGTCGTTATGGGAGGCGCCGCCGGAATCATAGCAGCAATAACATCTATGCACTGATGTAGTTAAACGGAGTGAAGGAGAGTATACATACATAACGTGGACTTAAAAGATATCCATTATGCAACCATATTAGCCAACGGTAATTGATGCCAGCAGACGGCTCTGCTCCTCGTAGCTCTCAACGATTGCGTACCGCTGAATGAATGGCTTTGGTTGGCGCGTATTTTGCGCAGTTTTTTTGCTTCGGTTGTTTCTTTTGATATTTTGGAAACAAGACGTCCGTCTATTTACATCATGCGGATGTTGTTTGAAGATTTCCTGTTTCCTGCTCGCTTGCGTGCTTTTTGTTGGATATACGTACATTACCGCTAGCACTTTTGTTAGCTGATTCGAGGAATTGCTAAAGATTCGATGCAGTTTCGCCGTTAAGGACTTTTAGGTCTTGTTGTGTTTGTTGTCAGCTCCCGTTGTGTGTAGGGGCCCGCATTAATGTGCCGGTATGCTTACTAATTTTTATTGTCTGACCAGGCTTTAAATTCTTCAAATTACAATAAATTTATAAAAACATGCAAGAGAACTCGCACCGACTTCAAAATCCGAATTGCTATAACATAGATTGCTGCAAAAAGTCCCCCAAGGTGATCAGGGATCAAGTCGCCTTACCTCATTCTTTTTCAACCTGGCTTTTGTCCACGCCATACAATAAGGACATCTTCAACAGTTGGGCACCCTCTGTGCAAACAACATCCTTAGTTTATTTGAGGTCGTGGCTGGTCCCGTCGGCCTGCTGAACTGACAGCGCTTTCACAAAGATACAGGTTGTGCCGTACTTCTGTTACAGACTTGTTATCACGTTATGCTATTGAATTTCTGTTTTCTATTTCAGGAACTGCTTGTACTTCGACAGTGTGACATGGCATGGCATGGTATTCGCATCACCGAAACCAATAAAGTTAGCTGACTCCTTATAGTTGCGTTGAATACTGCAGTTAGTGACGACTGAGTCACAAATTAGCAATTGTTCGCCTTAGTTACATTACATCAATACGTGTATCCGCACTTTCTATGCCAACAGCTGACTATTTGTCCATCATTTGTTTCTATGTTGTATAACCGTATCGCCAACAGTAATGGGTCCGCTCTAGCAGGATACATATATACGCCGGTCGGCGCTGTTGTTACTGTCACCACTGCAGCTCTTATCACCGTCGCTGCCGGCAAGTTGCATCTCACCATGAACATCACAGCCACCCGCTGCTCTTGTTGCTCGCTTCCTTTTCGTTCTACTCTGCATCAGCCCTTTAATAGCCGCCGTTTGTGGGGGTGGAGTTGTTCCGCTACGGCTCTTTCTAATGCTGTAAGCGTTGCTGCCACTGACGCTGCTGCTGTGCCTGCAATAGTTAAGCAACTGGCAGCACGGTTGTTTTTGTTGTCGTTGTTGTGTCTGAAGAGTCCCGGCAACGCTAGCAGCAGCGGAAACAGGATAGTGCCGCTCCAACTTTGCAGTGCCGAGGCGCCAGTGCCCGTCGTGGTGATGCCGGTTTGAGGCGGTCACCTCATGGCTAGCCTGCGAAGGAGCTTGACTATAAGCGGCAGAGAGCGGCACCAGCCTAAGGGGCTTTCTGTACACTGTCGTTGTTATCCCTCTTTGTTCGTACGCAGTAGACATAGAGCGTTCGTAAGGAAATATTTTCTTATATAGCATTAAGCGAATGAATGGGCGTCGCAGCATTAGTAAGAAAGTTTGGCTGGCGTATATATATATATAGAGCACGCAGTTAAACGAACGAACGGCGTGATTTGGGTTAATTAATTAGTCAGAGAAATGAAGCAATTGTTATCGCTGCAGGAAGACAGAAAGAAAGGGAGTGAAAGAAGGGAGAGTTCATTCATCGATTCAATGGAGACTAGCCGCAGCGGTATCAAAGACGTACGCAACTTTAATAGACCAGAATAAGTGAATCTCAGTGATCGGTGTTGAAATGAGCCGCTACATTATTGAGCAGTTAAACAAGCAAGCTAAGCGATGAAATAGTCACGAAGAATCAGGAAAGAAGAAGACAGAAACCAAGTTAATGAATACGTTTATTTAGTACCTGTTAGCTATAATCGGGCAGTTTTTTGCGTAGGAGCCGAGATTGGGTGGGATTTTGGAACGAATGCAAGACAAAAAAACATGAAGCTAGACTTCTAGAAGTCTTTTTATCGCGGTCATGCGAAAAACAACGCATCAACGACCGGCAGAATAAATGTAACAAATTCTAAAAAATTGAAATGTAATTTATTACTAAAAAACATTATCAGAGTCGTATAATCGGCCAATTATGTTATTTTTTTTAAAGAACATTTGATGAATATTCGAATCACTATTGGCCAGAGAGAGATTATTCTATTGTCGAATGTTTTTTCATTGTGGTTTAACTTTGAAGCAGTCGGCGTCCGAACACTTGCCAAGCTTTTTTGCTTGGCAATATTTCTCTTCGTTTAACTAAACTGTCCCGTCATTCTTTTTTGATTATGGTATGCCCATACGATTCAGGCCATGAATACAATTCTGTTTAACGAAGCAGACCTTCACGTTTTTAAATAAAAACGCGGAAGTCTGCTTCGTCAGCCTTAACTTGCATTCTCCGAAGCTGATATTTACATAGATACAGCTGGATTTTGTAGCACTCCGTAACTGTCACCGATGGCCAGCATTCCGTCAGGAATCAGTTGTCCCCTGTTGCTCTCCGTCAGCCTGCTGCACTGATTATTAGGCCATATCTATTGGTATCTCAGTCGCAGTCGTAGTTCGTGTTGCTATTGTTATTATTGTAGTCCACTACGGAGTCCATCTTCGCTGGCGCCGATCGACACTCCAGTGCTATGCAATCCTTGGCACGCAATATCTATATTATTATATAGTTCTACTGTTATCCGTAACGAGCGCAAGGGCGTCAGTGCCAATGCCATCAGTGAGCCGCTCTCTGAACTTGCACCACCTCTGCGGCGAGTCTGGCTGTTAATTTCACCAGCTTACCACCGTGGTCAGCCATTGGCGCTCCAGTTTCAAATTCGCGGATCATGACGTTTTTAACATTACCGGGAAAACGAGGAAGGGATTTGATGTATTGCTAATTATATCACTGTCTGATGTTAAAATTCAGGTGAGAATGACAGGTCGTTGTGGATGAGTGGGTGTCTGACTCAAGCAATGGGGAGTAAACAATGTCAATTAACTAAGGAGATGTTGATATTGTTACCGTTTAATGTTCTAATTAGAGTGCTGGTTGTTCAGTTACTATTATTATTATTTTATATACAATTTTATTGAACGTATGGTCAGATTCAAAGTGAGCCATAACGTTCATATTATTTTTGATTCAATAAAAATTGTCCTGTGATTATCATGAGAAAGGTGCTTTATGACGACATTCTGACTGTTCGGGACTGCTCAGAAAACGATGTCTTTATGAAGGTACCGAATTCTGCATGAATGACATGTACCCCAACTATCTATATCCCAAACGATTCATTTCTGAGCATAGTGAAAAATTACGAGCTTCAGCGGCTAGAAAAACGCAGACAAGGTTACGTGTCTATCTGTCTGTCTGTCTATATGCTTGTTCGCACGGGTGTTTTGTTCGACATAACAGTGCGAACGGTAGAAAGGTAGACACGTGTCATTTGACAAAGAGCCCTCCGTAGGTTCACCAATCCATAATATCTATTGTGGCAACACTTTCCTATAGAAGCATCGCCGGCAGCAACTCCAATAACGGAAGTGCCGAGCGCTGCATATATAAATGTACTGCTGCTGGCGTTGCTGGTTAATCATTTAGTGCATCACCAAATGAGGTGTCTGTTACTGAATCGATAATTATGAAGTAGACAAAGCATTTTCGCCGCACGCTAAAACTGCACACAGATCCATAGAACGTGTGGATTCGGTGCGTGGCACGATTGCGTTGAAAGGCAGAGAAGCAGAGATCTCCAGGAACGAGTATCTAGAGATATTCAGACTTAAATAATTTCGCATTTTTATGGGTGTGGTATAAGAATTTAGTAAATTTCACTAGTTTTCCTCAAGTCGCCACAGCGTTTGCTCTCTTGGGCCGACTCTAATAACAAGCAGCCGTATATGACTATATGAGTTTGTTACAAAATGACAGGAAGTAGGCATATGCTTTGAGCCTTCCAATAGTGTTTCTAAAAAGATTAGCCAACGGTATTGGCAGATCTGTAGGCTAATGGTGACTAAAGAGTTTGTTGGCGTTTAGTACAATTCGGAGAAAGAGCTCTGTGTATATTATAGCTATGATGTCATTGTATTCCACTGACGTGCTTACACGTATCTGCGGGACGACTGATAATTAGCTTTATTAGATTGTTATTAATAAGAGTAGATAGCCATTTGTGTGATAATTGTTCAAGTGCTGTTCTTAAATGCATAAGTAGACCTAAGTCTTGAAGTCTGCTTGATGGATGTGTTTACGCTATAATGTGTTTAATTAAATTATTTGCAATTCACCGGTACCGGCTAAGAGGTAAACACAAATGATTATTACTCTTTTTTTTTTGCAGAGATGGTCGAGTGCATGAAGCAGGTGGCTTCACTTGACGTCGAGCTTACCGTTGAGGAGCGCAACCTCCTATCGGTCGCATACAAGAATGTAATTGGAGCACGCAGAGCCTCGTGGAGAATCATTTCTTCAATCGAGCAAAAGGTGAGTAGTCAATGACGACTTTATTTTGATTGCGTTGATTAGTAGGCCATTTTCTTTACCAATATGTTTAAATTGTATGTGCTCATAATTTATTCAACCAATTTTTTTTCTATGGGACGTGATCATATAAAAAAAAACGATCGTATACCCTGCCTTATACATTGCGGTGGAATGTTTCTATTATTATTACGTGATATTTCAGGAAGAAAACAAAGGCGGCGAGACACGTCTTGGCATGATCAAGGACTACCGTGTCCAGGTTGAACAGGAGCTGCGGGGCATCTGTGACGATATTCTGGCCGTCCTTGATAAACATCTTATTCCAACAGCTTCTACCGGTGAGTGTAGACAAAACTTAAGTTTTCATGTGTAGCTATGGATATCAATGATGATCTCTTAGAACAGGAGAACATGCTGCAAATATTCCAATAGCACTATAATAATTCCAATAACCGAATGGATGGCCGAATTACGTAGGTAAACTTTTTTCGAAACAAAAATATTTCGTATTCATCATATCTGGCTTATCATCATGCGAAAAGCACAATATTTGTATTACAAGAAACATTATCTACGATCTGTACGTTATTATTGGTGCTTTGACTGTTAGTCAGCTTAATGTTGACGATATTAAATAAAATCTGCGGAATGAAATGCTACAAAGCTACAGTATATGTCTGTTAAAGAAAAACCTTACCATACATACTATGCTCTCACCAGACTGGTAAATATCTGGTCAATCATTTAAAAGATTGACTCCTGTTTGAAGTATTAATCGAACTGGCAGAGAATTCGTTGGAGAATGTATGTCGGTGAGAATTACGTATTTGATATATAAATTTTGATGAAAAGCTAAACAGATTAAAGCAATAAATGCATATTTACTTAGTTTATGGTCCTTCCGCGCTCCTTCAGAGTTAAGCATCAAATTAAATAGATATTATCAGCTTCGAGCTAGTGGTGGTTTAACACTACCATCCAGAACAAACCGCTCGACCCAACCCAGCTTTTAGTGCGGCAGATTGTTGTAGTACAAGGCGCGAACCGTTTGCATCATGGCTCATCATCTAGTTTCACGGCCTGATAGAGCAACCAAACACGTGCCTGCCAAACCGATTGTCACAGCAAGATAACGTTTATCCATAGAGTTTGTAGAGATTTCACACCCAAAAATGTTTGATGGAAAATTAAATAACAGAGATAATAACAGAAATAACAGAAATGCCTGTTATTAAGTCCACACTGTAGTGCCCTCGAAATGTCGCTACAAACCTGCCGAGGTAACGCAAGGCTTGCGTGGCCCCACTTAACGACAAAGTGTGGTTCGTGGCTTTTGCTTAAACTATTGTGTAATCATGACAATCGTCCGTGATAATGCTGATTTATTGCAATAATGAGCTTACATACTTAAGCTACGGATCCTTTGGCCTAAAGGCAGTGAAAATGGAGAATTTGGTTTATAGCTTGGCATAATTTTTCCCTGACAAACAAACCCAGTGTCATTCTAACCCATAAACATGCGATGAGTAAATGATGCTGAAAAAATGATTGCCTAAACAATCGCTTACGACATCGTCATAACCACATACACCACGTGCACTCACTTTCGACTCATGACTTATCTAACATGTTTTCCGCCTGCAGCAGCATCACTACAGCCCCATGGCAGTGCACGCTTCACGTCCCTGCCTAAGTAACATCAACTTCAGTAAAACTGCAATCATTGCTGCACGTCAGACATTAATGAGCTTGCAACAACGACTGATTTACTTTCAACTATAACATCGTCAATTACAGAGATATACTGCACTACTTTAATCGCGAGTCAAAAAACACGTATCGATAGCCCAGGATTTTATTTTCGATTTGACACTATGATAATGAAGCTCGTTAGCCAGCTGCCGCGATGCCAAGCATCTAAATGATTCCCGCAACTTTAACGTCCCAAGGAGTGGACTTGTTCTTGTATCGACGTAACAAGCGGGAAATTCTGCTATAGCTTTTAGTACGAATTTCAGATAATCGGTTGGCTAGTCTCTGTCCCCGTTCATGGCATGCGATCACCCCCTATCGTTCGCTCCCTCAACTTAGTCAAATCTAATAGTAGATTTATAGCAATTATGTTGTTATAGTGTGGTTTGTTCTGTGAAATGAAATTGTTGTTATAATATGATAGGAAGTGTGTAGCTGTGGAGGAGTACTTTTCTTGCGTGTGCGTAGCCCCTCAGATAGGTACCTGTTAGATCGTTTGCAAGAACATCTAAAATATAGTTTTCAAAATATTAATCGAATTGACACCTAATACGTCTGAAGGTTTGCGGGGCTATATGGTGTATTATACTTACCGACTCTGGTTTAAAATAATGGGAATTTATTTAACAGGACGGCATTTGCGTACCTTACGGATAAATAAGGAGGAATTACAGACTAAGCTTTATTGTAATTATTTACCGCATGTAAATAAAGTTTCGACTATCTTGAATAAAACTAAAAGGTTGGTCGATGGCTGTTGCCTGCAAAAACAACTCCATTCTGCCTACAATCTACTTATGATCTTTGCTAACTAGTGCCATCCGTCTAAATAGGTTTGCTGCAGGTACTATCCATTTTATATTTAACTGAGGGCTGACCACGAACCCGAAATCCGTTAACTAGTCATGGTGGTGCCTTTGTTGTTGTGACCCTTAGTAAGTTTATTCTTATTTGGCTGCTTCTGAAAGTTTGAAGCAGCCTATACGGAACTGTACTAACGAGCAGCATTATGCACATCGTGTTTATTTCAGGAGAAAGTAAAGTTTTCTATTATAAGATGAAGGGTGATTACCATCGTTATTTGGCTGAATTTGCCACGGGCAACGACCGAAAGGACGCAGCAGAGTGCTCATTGGCGGCTTACAAGTCAGCCTCAGATATTGCCACATCAGAGCTACCTCCAACCCATCCGATTCGTTTAGGTCTTGCGCTGAACTTTTCCGGTGAGCAAAGATTTGCACAAATATTTTTGGGACTAAATAATATGCTTTTTTCTTGGCTGACTTTCGTACCAAACTATCTTACAAGTTTCGAGTTCTGGAGTTTCGCTAGATATTACTACGAATGCCGGAAAATGTAATCTATAAAGATCATTTGTTTTCGAGCCAGTCTACGAATATATTATTGTTGACTAAAGCACTGTGAAGTATTTTAGAACGCGCGTCATATGCAACTTGGAGAGAAAAGAGACTTTTTTTTTTATTTAAAGAAATGCATCCACCGTCGTGATGTGGTATCTGTTATTTGTATAATCGAGAAGGTTTGTCGTTTAAAGCCATACATTCTTCCTCAATAAAAGGTGTTTTTCACTCGTGTTCATTCCTTAAAGGTGTTCCATAGTTGTCAAAGGCGATATCTGTGCACTGCAACATCTTTTTACTGTCAAAGCCTGGAACACACAAAAGTAATACGAGCACTGATTGTGATACTTCACTACCAGTCGAACAGTGATTCCTTAAACAAGCGATTGGCTCACTAAGCACTAATCGCGTAATCTCATTCCCTTCCAGTATTTTATTACGAGATCATGAACTCGCCGGACCGTGCCTGCCGATTGGCCAAGGCCGCATTCGATGATGCCATCGCTGAGCTGGACACCCTATCTGAAGAATCGTACAAAGACTCGACGCTCATTATGCAGCTCCTGCGAGACAACCTTACGTTATGGACGTCTGACATGCAGCATGAATCTGGTACGTAGTCCCCGTCACTCGAAAAGGACAAAAGATTGTATCAAGGACATCGTAGAGTTCCATGAGAGCGGCTTCAAATTAAGCTTTGCGAAAGACGACGAGTCATTCGAGTCGTAACAATGCAAGCACTGAGAATAATGGCATGATAACATTTTTACCAATGTGGCTCGCTGACAGTTATTGCGTAGAGCGTCACTGTTTACAAGACGAAACATTCTGTTCACTATATATATATATATATATATATACATATATATACACTTCCCCAAATACATCGATGAGCAGCTGCTTTACAGAGCCTGCCTAACTAAAAATATTTTGGACCGTCTTGCAGGCGAAGGCGCAGAGGGTACAAAGGACGAATCAAGTGAAGAAAAAAAGGAGGAAGCTTCATAATTGAAGCACTTTGTGAGGGACAGTATCTATCCATTATAATAATCATACGACACAAAATGATGAAGATAAAGGAAGATATACAGTGACGACAGCAACAACAACAATTAAAGCAATGGCAACAACAAAACTGGAAACAACAAGCAACAATATATATCCATATACCTACGTAACACACAAGAATATAAGAATAATGAAGAAAGCGATAGTATAACTACACCAAGAGCAACAACAGAAGTCTATATATATGATATAGATATAAATATAAATGTAAGCAAAAAATATACTAGAAAGAGAGAAAGGGAAAAGCAAAGAACAGAACAAACGATGGGCTCGCTTACGACACAACCATAATAAGAGCAGCCGCATCAACAACACCAAACATAAAACAAACGGTATAACGCAACAGCTTCATGAAGGAAATGTAATCTTAGAAGCGGGAAGATGAGTCGTATAGAACTAGGCGAAAATAAGAAATAATGTCAAGATCGGGAGGATGTTACAATATCGCGATTCAAGGTCGCCAAAACCTCATAAATATTGCTTCGGTCATCGATAGAACCGCTCATCCAGAAGATCAACAGTGACAACGGAAGAACGGTTTAAGCCGATAATTGTTTCTTGTAAACAAGAACGCCCCCGGAAAAGCTAGCTTCTCCAGAATCAGCAACTAATGAAGGTCTGTGTGGCTTTCGCTACCTAGGCTCGGAACACGTTGGGTTTATCTCTGAAGAACTACACCGAATTGACATTATTTAATTGAGACTAAAAGTTGGAGCGCCTATCGCCACTGCAAATAACAGTCGCTGTGTAAGAACGACGTATGCGTCAACTAACTACCTAATAATGGTGATTTTGTGGCCTACTTCTACAGCTAATCTAATCTTACCTACTTCTGCTAATACTACTGTTACTAGTATTATTGACTGACTTGATAGTGACAACACTTGATAAACTCTGATTAATTATTGATGACCATTTATACAATACATGATGAATATTCTATAATATATGCGACCGACGACTGTTCCACTCAAAAACCGCCAACCATCTCCATGAGCAGCCATAAATGTTCCACGTACCTACCACCGATTTTTCACCGAACCTACAACAAAAACGTTTAGGGATTCTATAATAATAAAAGTATGCTAATAATGATATTATAATGAGGATCTGAAGGAATAATCATTATTATTAATCAAGTGCACCCTACAATTGACAATATTACGATGCTTCTCATGATCATTGTTATTATTTAACAATAAAGACAGGCAAAATGACAAGTAACTTTATCACAATAGCTATTGATATGTTGATGATGCCACGCGAATGCATATCTATATATATTTAGTACAGTGGAATACTGCCGCTGATCTTTTAAGCGTGAATTGTGTCAGGCTGAATAGGTGCGCATTTACTTTATGTTGATGGTGTTTCGTTGTCGACACGTGACCATACGACCACGTCGTATTGCAAACAACAACGTCCTCTCTCGATAAAGAACTATTATAGTAAAAAGGTATGGATCTGAGGGTATCGATAAAAACATAAGTAACCGGAAACTGCAGTACGAATATAGTAGGCTCACAGCAGTGTCGTCCAGTGTTGTCGAAAACCGATTCTGGTTAAAAATTAGCATTGGTTCTGCACAGTCAAGTCAGTAAGTGCTAATGTGCTGTTCAGACGGGTGAATTGGAATTATGCATGCGTAGTTCGAATCAGATACGAATTATTACTATATCTATTACTTGATTAAAATGCGAGTGATATTAATTATTGAGTAATGATGATGGCGGCAGTTATCATATTAAAAATGGGAACAGTACAACAGACATAGGCGCCTATGATGTACGTGCATTTCTCTGTGCACACTGCAGTGCAGCTGTTCGGTACATTCGATTTGTTGGGATAACGAATCATAAACCAATAATATTGAACATTCGAAGGACGAGCGATACGTTATTCCGGTATCGTTTTGAACAACAATATATATACACACATATACATATTGTATCTGATGAATTCACCTGTGTAGGACGGACAGCTGAGAGAACACACGGAACACACACTGAACGTAAGTGTGCATTCATGCTTGCCATTGTGTTTGTTCTTACTACGTGGTTTTATTCGTGTTGCCTGTTTTTTTATTTATTATTAATATTCATATTATATTCACAATGACGAGCAGACTGATTTTTGCCATTTTTATCGTTGCCATTGCTGAGAAAAAACCGTCTTTTCGCTTAACGACTCATTCACGACGATATATATATACACACACGATCTATATATATATATATATATATATATATATATATATATATATGATCGTGAATAGTATATACACTGTTTATGATAGTGATGATCTATTCTTGATTATATTTGTATTATTCATATAAATCAGATTAGTTCGCCCGTTTCCGAAAAGCCAACAAGTGCAGGGTCAAACACCTAGTTTGCGACTGTTGTGCGAGCACACTCAGACCACTTTTGCATTCATTTTGAAAATAACTATTATTATTATTATTTATTATTATGACTACCACAAGTGTTTTCTTTTTGTTCATACCCATAGAAAGCAAGGATCAAACTTTTTATCCGTCTGTATCGTCTGCGTTGTTCCTGTATATTTCAGTATTCTTTTTTGGTAGATTCGTTTTGTTTTTTTTTGTTTGTTTCATTCAAGAATAGGTGATTATAAAGCCAAAAGATAAGAATTAAGGACATAAATATGCATGCGACGACCGCCAGCTCCTTCAACCGACACCTGCTGGCTCGCTGGTTGCCTATCTATATATATTTAACATTTACATACTCCTGTTTCACGTCAAGATAGCATAGTATTTACTACAATCGATTGACATTACTACTATTATTATTACTGTACTACCGATGAAAAGAATACAATTCCTATATTTTTCATAGTATGATGACCTACTGATATGATATGACTGATTACTGATTGTTTTGTATCTACGATTTTTGTGCTCTATGCGACTTACCGAGAACGCGTTATGAATGGGGTACGCAGCCACATTGAACACTGCTTCTTCGTTGAGTTTAATCATCAGCAACGATAGAAAGAGAGTCGAAAGCCAAATGTCAAGTTGTCACTCTGGGGATCTACTGTCTCGCAGCTTTGGCTGGCCAGAGACACCTTATGAAACAGAAGGGGGGGGGGGGGGGGGCAGACTCCACAAATCTATCCGAGCTCCTGTAAACATTCATATACAGATATAAGGATTTCGTACTATTTCATTTTCAGCGAACAAACAAACCACAATCTTTTCTCTACGAAGACGACGACTATATTATACTATGGACATGTGTTTCGGTCGCGTGCGAAGTATGCATCTCATTGATTTGTCCGTTCGTTCTGTCATTCAGTGATTCAACGTTATCATAATGGCTTTCTTGCACTTAATATCTATAAATATATTGAAAAGAACCTATATATATTCCCTACCCTTTCTTCATCTCAATATAAAAGCTCTTGATGTCCCCATGACGATACTTGATAGTGATGATGTTGAAAACAACATTGATTGGATAACCTAATTACAGAAGTAATAGACACGTACAATATGGTAGACGGATAATGTCGCAATGAGTGTGTGTGAACTGTATGATGGACAGCAAATAATTAATAGGATTGCATCAATAAGTCATAAAGCATATATCGAGAAGGATTTGGCGGTCTTGCCGTTACCTCCACAGGGCCTGGCGCCCTGTGGTTAAAACGTAGTAACAACAACAACAATAATAATAAGCAGAAGAGAAATTATACAATTGTCACTTTTTTTATTTTAATTTAATTTACTACTACTACCACTACTACTACTACTACTACTACTACTACTATTACTACTACTACTGATAAAGCTAATAAATAGCAAATAAAGGTATTGCAAACAAACGCAAGACGACAAATACTTGCATAAAAGTACACTACAAAAACGTTCGATAATAAATGATGCTGATTATGAAGAAAAACACAAATGCCGTAGAAGGAGCAACAAAAACAAGCGAAAGAGGAACAGAAGTGAGAGAAACAAAAAAAATACGAAACAGGCATATAGAACAGCTGAAGAGAAATCTAAGCAGAACAAAAACGATAACCAAAATATGGCACTTAGTACACATCTCTGAGTGACAGAACGATTTCAGTTACTATATCTGTGGGAAGCTAGCTATATGGAAACAGACGTGTTCGATGGGACACGACCCCCAACGTGAGGAGTCGCGCTTGATAATTGGAACATAAGGAGGAATTGTATCTGCGGAAAGAGTCACACCGCGCTGCCATTTCAAAATCAACAACAAAAAGAAACAGCAAAGCAGCAAGCAAGTAACCTTCGATGACTTGGATTATACAGGAAAATTATACACCAACAACAAAAAAAAGCGTTATTTTCATTTTTCTTGGTACAACTAGATATGTATACTACAGATAAATCGAAATCTAAAGTAGAATTTCTTGTGGTTAATATTATTTCTATGTTGAATTTAGACAATCAGATATCTATGATAATCATAGCATTTGATAAGAGTAATTGTAATAGGCAAGGGTTAATATGGGCAGCTGGATCCTATGAGACTAAGGGGCATGGGCTTTATTATGATTCAGGGTGACCAGCTTTTTAGTTATCATATTGAGTGGTTGAATATGAAGCACAACGTAGTGAACATGTAAAACTCCGTCACAGACTTATTTTCAGTTGAAGTACGTACCATTATTACCTGTGATATTCTCATATTTTGATGGTAGTTTATCCCACTGCGGTAGAGGTCTGGGATTATGTTTAGGAAGCCTCAAAAGACGATTTCGACGTTCTGCTAAGATTTAAACCACTTTCCTATTGAGAAGTCGTTGAAATTTTCCTGGGAATAGTTCCTGGCAAGTACAGTGTTAGACTTCGAGCCTCCAACTGTAACTCCTGCACTTGTGTCACCACGGTTCTTGCAGTTTGAGGTCGAGTGTTCTTGTATAATAGAAACGGTTTAGCTCTTTCACTAAAACTGCGGAGTTATTACATTATCTCCTCAAATTGTTGACAGTATATTTTAGCCGTAATCGTCAAACCAGCTAAAGTAAATATCACCTGCACGAAACCACCAAATAGATATCATAAGATTTTGCAGCTGCATATTCGCTTTAGAGTGATATCCTGTCGGTTTTGTTGCAGCTATTTTGTTGCAGCTGTCCACTGATGTGAGGATCTCCAATTATCTTTAAGGATTCATTTTCGTCAAAAGTTGCCATTTGATGCAAAAATGGGTCACTTGTAATCTAAGAGCAAAAATAAGCAAGCAGTACTACGACTCTGTTTTAGATCTTTGTTCAAATCATACGTCATCAGTTGTCGAAGGTGAAGTATAATAGTTTTGAGGTAGAACACTTATCGCATGCAAAATATATACGATGAGCTATCTTCGCCGCCGCGATTCTAAGACGAAATTTATATTTGTAAACCACTGAAGTTTCCAGATTCACCATGTTGGTCCACATGTTGCTTGCAAAAAGCCTAAGAGACGGTATGCGGGCGAAAGTCTCAGTTTTCGAAAAGTATAAGCGCTAGTCAAATATAACAAAAAGTGTACTGAAATATGGCGATGTTATGAACTAGCGCCATTTTGGGGCAACGTACAATAGTGTAGAAATTCACATTAGTTCCTATAAAAATCAATATCGGCATCTACTGACCTTTTCACTGAAAGCCTATGCCGATTTAGTTCTCACTAGACAACCCTCACATGTATACGCAACCTCTATATTAAACATATTTTTGCGAAGCTCACCGCTTTCGAAAAATTGGGGTGAAAGTGTCAGCGGTGGTTCTAGAATGTCCATCTCTAAAGCTGGTAGTCTGGCACTCTTGCCAGTGTCAACAGTTGTATTTATAAAAATAAATTATTATAAGCCTAATCCTAATGTTTGCATTATAAATGAAATTATTTTTTTATTTTTATAAAAAGTGGTGAGCCGAACTGGAACATTGAATTGCAACCACAGTCCACTTTTTTTAATTATGCTATCCAGTAAATATCTGTCCCGGCCTTAGTGGTTACACAATATACATGTTTTTGAAGTCCATCATCATTTTACGATACTGTGCAACATTATAGTAATTTAATGCATGACACTACCTAATACGGAGAAACATGTAACAGCAAATAACGTGCAATCGCTAATAACTATTTTACAAAAATTAATACCCAGCATTTTTAGTGATGCGAAAGTTCTTTAGCGTTTCCAAAATGTCTAATCAAAAATTATTTTAACTATAAACAATGAACATATTTGAACTGATAAGAAATAAAATATAAATTCATAGAAAAATCTCCCCACGATGAATCCCATATACAAACAATTTTGTTCACCAATTACCAAAAAATAACTAGAATACAAACTAAAAATAAATTAAAAAAACTCCCTTCAATTATATTAATTGATGAATTTTGCCCTTCCGTTTTATATCAAACACATCACGTTATGTCATCCCACAAAAATGCTTTTACGAATAACACAATGACGACTAATTAACTAAAACACTTCATGAAGGGCATCCATATACTTTTATGTATGTCTCCTTGAACCGCACGACCTTGCGGCCTTTTAAATTCCGTCCATAAAAGAACCATGAAGAGCGCACACCAACCGAAGAGCCAGCGGCACTTCCAGTCGTCCGGGCAAGCCACGCTGTATTGTATCGCACGCAGCTGTGGTACCACAATTAGCGGTCGGGAGTCCGTCAAAACAGGCCGGGCGCTGAAATTCCCGCACTTTCAAGTCAAAACATCTGCACTACTCGCAACAGCGGCAGCCGAGGCGAGGTAGCGAAAACAACGTGAATCTTTCTCTGTCGCACTTCGTTGCTGTTTGTGTGATTCTGGATGTGTTTATGGACAGCAGAGCTTTCTTTGTGTGTACTATGTGCGTCGAAGTGAGCTTCGAAGCGCTCGAAGTTCCATGTTGGTATATGTCTGTCCGTCGAACTACATCATCGACTCGCGGTTGCTGTTATTATTCGGTAGCCGTGTCGGGACGGAAAATTTCTGTTCTATTTGGCAGACCTGAGCCTGATCTTGAAGCAGGCAGCGCATCTGTGTCCATGGTACTTTCCGTAAATTTCCCTCGTCGTATTGTTGCCTAGAAGTTTGCCACCAATTTGTCGTTAGCTGTTGAGCCAGGCTGTTGACTGTTGAGCTCTGGTGGATAAACGGACAACGAGTGAAGAGTTTGGGCGGTCGCAGTGTTTGAGTGGTGAACCCAGACGAACAGGCCTTCTAGTTATAGTAAGCAATTTATAAGTGCATTTGATTTCATCCTGGAAAGCTTTGAACGGAACGATTGGTGTTAATGGCGGCCGTGCTAGCTTTTCCTTAGTGAAACCTAATTGTCATATGACGTTTTGAGGACAGGCGCGAGGTGACGGTAACGGGTCGTGTAGAGACACACCGAAGCGACAACTTTCCACGACTAGAGAAACATGAGGTTCGTATGTAGACTCTTTCATTATATGCTTACATCCAGCATTGTTACATAACGAAAAAAAAATATTTTTAGAAGTGCGTTTGAATACTCTGAACGATGAAAATCACAGTGTTCGTATTATAGTGTATTGACGATGGATTAGAATGTCTAGTATTCAATTCTCGGTGGTATGTTAGTAGTCATGCGTCTATTTTCATTAAAAACGCATTTATGTGAGAAGACGACTAAGTTTCAGCAAATATCCTACGGCAGGGTGTGGAAGATTTTTTTTTGTTGTTAAATGTAGCGCGTTGTTTCGAATTCTAATCAAGTTCATGAGTTAACATGTGGCATCCTGACGATTTCATGCTAACTGAATGGGAGACTACACCTCTGCTATTAGTGGATAAACATTTATTCTTCATTCATTTAGTAGTAAAAATGTTGCGAATATGTGCCGTATAATTTTTTTTTACATTTTATGAATTAAAAACAAAATGCCAGCGAAATTTCTGCTGACTACCTCGGTTTCAACAATTTCTTATCTTGGTTCTCAAGATAAAACGTCCAACTAGCCAATTGCAATTGTGTGTCCTTAAGGCAGCACTGTTTGATTTTATTCTTTTTTTTAATGGTCTGTACCATTGACTAATAACTGGTGTCTTGTAGCATGTATTCCTTAACTGCTGCTATTTGGTAAGGGTCTCATCCAAATTCATCCAGTACAAAGGCTAATGATTTAATCCTCGGAAAAAATTACTTATGTCATGCTCCATCTGCTACCATCAAATCTCTGCTAATAGATCTCCACTGCAACCCTCCACATTAATAAATCACTTATTAGAGAAGAAATGGGTTGTTGTAATCCACAGACAGTGATCACTCAATAAAAATTTGCTGGCTGACCTTATTTTCTTGACTGCATTACATATCTCACATACAGCCCATACCAGACTAGAGTATCGGGGAAATTGCCGTGTCTCATATGCAAAATGTTGGTGCAGTAGCTTGCCCACGTTGATACGCATCGAAATGTCTTGTTGCTCAGTAAGTCAAGAAGGGCCAGACTAATATGTGTCAGTTAATATGTAAAATGGTTACGTACATTAGAATAACAATAATAGTACGGTTGATACTTAATATTTTTCTTATCGTTTCAGTTTTCAGTGGCTCCAAGCACTTTTAACTTCAAACGACTTCGCTAACATCAGTTGATTTTTATGTCAAGGAAATACAATCACTTTGTGAGGCGCATTTGAGTGTAAATTTATTTGACAAAAGTTAAGCTTCAAATGCATTACTTAAAAGAAAATCAACAGAATTGCTTAATACATAGCCTAAAAACACGAAAGAACATTCAGATGGCATTAATGTGTTATTATGACACAGGTACTACGTCAACCAACAGCCTGGTCGATTTTGTCAGGGATTCCATTCCACTGTCATAGTTAGGTTTATCACCCAGATGAGCTAGGGGGAGTTCAGGCAGTCGTCATTTAAATCTTGATTAGAACCTACATTGCGATTGACGAACGTAATAGTTACGCGGCGTTACGATTATGTACTTGTCGATTTAGATAAATCTTGTTTAGTTCTGATCTAAGCTAAAGCGTGCGATTTTGTAGACATAAGTCTTGATTTATAGAACTGCATCCTAATATAAGCTATTTATATAAATAAACGTTAATTATACACGCAGTCGATTTGGCTAAGAGAAGATACTTTTTTGCGCCATCAATTTGGACCATGTTTTGTGGAGTGGATATAAGCGAATCAATGAGGCGCATTTGAGTCCTATCGAAATCAAGATACCGCGCAGTTTAATAACGCTTTATAACGCAGGTGAAATGTTACAGAGAGCAGCACCGTCATAAGGTGTTCGTAGATGTATACGGCCCATTTCAAAAACCAAAATGACTTTTAGAAGGTGATTCCTGATGGTATATGCCTTATGCTTTTAAAATAAAGTATAAGATATCCTTAATACAATATGAATGTGTTACTTGGTACGTACATTGCTCTACTGATGCTGCAAGTCGAACCCGCTTAAAGCGGGTATAATATATTTAAGGAAAATCTATGTGCACATATTACGTTAGGCGTCAATATGTTGTTTATTTATATACCTATCCATTTTGGCTTAAGGAAGCCCCAGTTAGTGCATCAGATCCCCTACTCACTATTCCCCAAGGCCTAAGACGCTCCTCAGCTCACCGTAATCCGCCACCGTAACCTACCTTAAAATTTTGACTGTTTTTATTATTGCAAAATTTGTATTTGATTTACTGTATTCTTTTTTCAGATGGCTGAAGAAGACGGTAACGGCGATGGGCCTAATATTGTTCAGTTGAACAACGTGCAGCTCAGTGCGGTCGCATCGTCCGCTCAAAACCAACAGTCTATTCAACATCAGCCGCAGCAACAACTTCCGTCACCTGCTCAACAAGTGGCACAGCAACAGCAAGCGCAACTCCAGCTGCAACAACAGCAGCAGCAGCTGCAGGCGCAGGTGTCTCAACAACAAATGGTCCTTAACGGCAGCGCTGTTCATTCTAGTATCGCAACAGCGACGATACCGGCTACAGGTAAAAACCTCGTTATTAAAAATTATCATTATTAGAGTTAAGCTATACAACGAATGCACAAAGAAAGCACCTTTAAGACCTTAACAGTAATTGAGCCATTTGAAATAAATGTTTCCTGTGTAAATAACACGCCCTCAAAATATTAGGCGGTAAAAAAACCCTTAGTAAGACAGACGGAGCAATAAGGGATTACTGCGTTCTCAATGATCGCGTGTAGTAAGAGCAAGTATAAAATCTTCTAGTGCCTTTTGTAATAATGATTCGAATACGTGTGCAAACTAGTGTTACCAATTGCCGTGCTAAACCGATATGAATCTTCTAGCATTTGCCAACAACAAGTAAGGTGCCTCATATTTTACATTCAGTAACTGTAACAGGAATTGTAACAGATAGGAAACTTATGCATAGAAGGGTTTGCTCGGATCTCTAATTTTTTCGACCAAGACGGGAAAAAGATTGTGCTGTCGTTTAGCACTATATTCAGTTTGGCCATTAAATTATGAGTCGCACAGTAAAACACGGTACTCAAATATGCTTCATTTTCGTCAGATGTCTGCGGCGACCCTGTTGAGTCTGGACGTGAGTTGAGCATCTCTGCCGCAAATGGCGATCATCAGGGCGGACTTTTCCAGCAGGTACGTAACTCTTTCGCGAATAATAATACTTTTTTTACCTCGGTTAATTTTTAGCCTCAATGACAGACAGCGAAACTGTGTTTTCACTTCTTTTCAATTCCTCCGTCGTCGTACGTTATCTTACAGGTGGCCCTTCCAACTGTACAGAGCGTTCAGACCTCCGCAGCTGCCCTGCTGGCCACAACGAACCAACAGAGTATTAGCCAAAATAATTCTTACAGTAGCAAAAGCGTTTGCCGGGACTTCCTCCGAAATGTATGTTTTCGAGGAGCGCAATGCAAGTTTGCCCATCCAGGTGAGAAAAATATAGGCAAGAGATTATGTTATCGATTAGTGAGATACCAATTATTACTGATGAAGAATCGTAGCGGGAAAAGTTCACACTTAAATCTAAATCCCGATTACGAAAATCTCATATTTTAGCCCGTATAATTTTAGCTGTTTTTTTTTATGCGGCTCAGCCCTTCCCAAATGACTAAATTCTTGGCCGCAACGTTCATCTAATTGAGATGGCTCATTTGTGCACAGGTGATTCTGTCCATGGCGACTTTGTGTTTTGCCACGATTTCCAGAACCTAGGATGTAATCGGTAAGATTTCGCTCCAAAACATTGTTTGCAAAAAAAACATCGGCAGTTCACTATATAAATAGTTGCTTTGTTTTTATCATTCTTATTCGCGTTCTAGAAATTGAATCGTTAGTCAAGCTTTGCTTAAGTAAAGAGGGTGTTCATTATCCAAATTTCGATCTTGTGACTGAATGCTTATAAGAAAAGTATTGCTGTAGGGGTTCTTTAAGTGCGGGTATTTTAATTACTGTGATCATGTTTTAGGTTCGATTGTAAATTTGTGCATGCATCGAAAGAGGATGAAAGACGATATCTGGAGAGCGGCAAGTTACCTTCGACCGCTTTGAATGTTACTCCTGCAGAAGCCAACCATGAACCCATCTGTAAAGATTTCCTTAAAAGTAAGAACTTACACAACGGCAAATAGGGTAACATATTCAAAACACAGTGCAGCTTTACTAGTTTCTCGTGAAAGTCAATCAACCACGTTTCATATTTTCTTTTAGCAATAATGTAACACTCCGTGCATATGACACCATTTTGAAACCAGACAGTCGAAGACATTTGAATTTGCTACATCATTATGTCCACTCCATTCATAATAGAATCTGATAAAATATTCCAAGCCTTATGTGTTTTGCTTTTTTAGAGTTAATAGACATGTGTTCAAAATATACATAAGAGGCTAAATAGCAATACCATTTGGTACTCGTCCTATCTTGCAATGATGATCTCAAAGATTTTAATGTGACCAACAGAATTATGTAACGATGTAAATGTGCCGAACGACCGGCATTTCAGGAAAATTATTTGCAACGACAATTCTGCATATATATATATATATATATATATATATATATATATATATATATATATATATAGTCGTTTGCAGTAAATATAGTAATTTTTAACAATGCATTCATTTTCAAAACTATTTGAATCTTTCATAAATTCGTTCAGTACGTCCTTATATCAGTAACTGTCTTTAACGTTCTTAGGACAATGTCATCGGGGCCGCAGGTGCAAGTTCCGGCACGAACTTTCGTCTGGCGCTGGCGGAGATAAGGGCGGGTCTCTCGCAGCAAGAGACGGCACGGTTGCCATATACTACGACTCAGATAGGTAATAAGCTGAGAAGTTATTGAATGTTGGCCTGGTTTATTTTCAATCATGTTTCGAGGTCCGTAGGAGATTGGGTGATTGTAGTACTAATAAACGAAACAAAACAATAAAACACTTGCATAGCTTTATGTTCAGTTGTCAGTGTTGAACCTATGCTACTGAGGGGGGATTTCTGAAGCTAGGAAATTTACCAACATGGCGTAACAGTGTTACTAAATTGTTTACTGTTTGATTTATGGCATCTAGTGTTATTACTGGTATTATTATTGATAATTGCGAATTTGTTACAATTATTTTTTCTTCGCTACTACTATGCAAATTTTGTTGATTGCTCACTATCTATAACCTTACTTGATCACTGAGATTATTGTTTCGAAAATATCATGCTTTCATATTGCTAACACAGATGCATCAAGTTCCTATACTTTATTAGGAAAATGTTTTTATAACGAGCTAATCATTAGTATTTATCAAGTATCTGTGTATGGCACTTATTTGCAGATTGTTTCAGTTAGATAGCGATTGTGGGTACGGAGGCAGCGTAGCATCAACGAATCCGTTATTATTACTGCGGGGCGGCGAGCGACCAGGGGTCGAACGCGATCGCTGGTCGCCACTGGCGACCCGCGTGCCTCTTGGATTGGGGTCACTTGTTTCCGCAGGTCATTCACAAGCGACGAAACGCCGTCGCTCGTCGCAGGGTCCGCTTCCACCCTTCGAAGAGGAACCGTTAATGGCACCTGTAGGCAATTTAGAGCGCGAAAACCGAATGTTGAGGGAACGCGTTGAAGACCTTCAAAAACAAGTAAGTCAGCTGTCTCGAGTTTGTGCTTCCGTAACTGCCGTTAAGCAATATCTCAGGTGGCTGGTCTCAATAAGTAAAAAAATCAGATATCTAATACGTTTTTATAATTAATCGACATGTTACTGACCCCAAGCAAAAAATGTAGCAAATTTTCATGATATTGGTTAGGTTAATTGAAGTCAAGCAAGAATATAGACTGAATACGCAGTTTCGGAGTTTAGGGATACTTTACCACCATCGCATATTATTGATAAGGCTGAGAGTACAAGGTTGTTACGTAACATATCTTTTATTCTCTTTCGCAATTGACTACATTAGCATTAGTAACATTTTTTGCGTACTTGCTACATCTATCGTTTTACGCCCTGTCACTTCATCATCTTTGCAGGTAAAAGATCTGATGTCAACGAATGAGTTCCTACTTCAACAGAACGCCGAATTGCGACTATCGAAGCAGCAGGCACAGGCCCAAGCCGCTCAGCAGGCAGCGCGCGCCTGCTCGGGTATGTCGGGCCATGCTGGTGCAGCCGTCATGTCTACAGCCGGTGCAGTCATCTCAAGCAACGTGCAGCAACAGCTCGCTGCCGCTGCCAGCAATGTAATCCCCAGTAGCGTTCTAACAAGTAGCGTTCTCCAGTCAGTCCAATCGGCGGCAAACAATTTACCTGCAGCTGTTGGGGCCGTTGGACCTGTTGGTGCCGTGGGTCCTGTTGGTGCCGTGGGCCCTGTAGGCACTGTAGGTACAGTGGGAGGTTGTGCGCTGCCCAGCAGCGTTTTGTCGAGTATGCCGAATCTTTCCAGCGCTCTACCGGGTCTAGCACCAAACCTGTCCAGTGCTGTTTTAGGCGCGTCCGCCGGACCTATCACGTCGGAGCCTACCGTTGGTCTTGTTCCCGTCTCATCGATTATAACAATGAGCACAAGCACCAGCAATGACCAATTAGTGGGTGGTTATCCAATTGTCACGAGTCAGGGTCAGCTGAGATACAATCCAACAAGACCATAAAATGGACTGAGAAACCTGTTTAGACGGAATGGGACTGTAGCTTCCTAGATTCTACTCAGACATATATACACACATATACACGCATATATATATATACATAAGCGGAAGATTTATCAGAATGAAGCTTCGTCGATAGGGTAAAGCGAACCACCTATATTTGTTTGAAAATTCAGGATAATGATTATTACTATTATAACGGTAATGATGTCAGCTCGAAAATGCATGCCGGGCCGGAAAGTCGTTGTTATTATCATTAATTGAGCTACACGTTACCACTTAGCGCTTAGTAAGTGCAGACGGTGGCGTTCTATATATATATATATATATATATATATATATATATGTACATATATAATGGTTACTACCATTATTAGTGAGTCATCCTTCTCAGAATAATGTTTCTTGCGCAGTTGACGGAGGTAGTGTGCTAGAGAGAAACGGAAAATCAGTGAATGCGCTACACATTATTTATATTGATCGTGTATTTTGTAGGACCAGGTCAATACGTGACCACCACGTCACGATGCTGTAGCATATTTATATATGATGATGATTCACATTTCTTAGGGGCATATCAGTTATACTCTTCAAGAATACGGCTTAGTCATGCTAATAGTAAATTGATTAAAAATATATTGCAGGACATTTTTTACATTAAATTTTCGTTTATGCTACGAGTTGTAGACTGTATTATTATTTTCCGTGTGTACTGTGTAGGAATCAAAGGTGTGAAGATGTTTCGGTTTGTCTGACATGCACTCATCCTTTGCTTTGTCATGCTAATATTTTAGGAAAATATCGGCTTGCTGTATGTCTGCCTTACCTCATTTCGTTTCCACCATTTTTTTTTCACAAATGATTGTCTATGAGCACGTGGAAATCATGTCCGAGTTAGAGCATTGGGTCTTCGACTTGTAAAATTTTCTTACTTTAAGATACAACAATCAGCCTATGATCGGAAGTTTATCGATCTGTTTTCTTTTTTGGCAGTGTTAGTCCCTATGTCTTGTTAGCGTGAGCTAATGAAAGTCCATGTCCTATAAAACCAGTCAATGTTTGGGTTGATTGCCTAATAAAGGATGAATGTACCACAGGATTCTGGCAATAAATCACTTTTCGTGGATTTCGCTTACATTGCCAAACAGTAAATTAAGCTTATATTACACGAAGTTTCTGAAAATATTAAGGATAAAGAAAGCACACACCATGGATTCATTTTCTGTTGTCGTTTTTCGTTTCTGTTGTCTGCTCGGTGTGGACTCAGATCACGAAATTGTAGCAGAAACTTGGAAGTACTACGAACGTCATTCAATTCTTGTTGATGGGTCGTTTCAGTCGTAAAAAATGAAACCAGAATGGCATTTCTATCGTTGACAGTATTGCTTAGACTAGGCGGACGGTATCTTTGCAGTCCTTCCTGGGCACGAACAGCCATTAACCACCTGGTGTTTTGTTTCGTTGAGTGGAACGCTACCATGAAACCATAATTAAGGCAATGCAAGATATTTAAGTCTAGAGGCTGAACATACAAGGTGTAATGTTCAATTGAACATAAATATGCGTATCGAAAAACAAAATCGTGCCAGCTTTATTTCGATTATTTAGGCAATGTGAGCCAATAGTTAAGGTCTGCATCCTTTTTAACTATTGGTTACGATATTCTATATGTAGATTAGGTTGTCCTAATGATTTATATAGGCACGGATACTCTAAACCCGTGGTACTGTGACTTTTAAGCGTTTTGTATCCTTTGCAATTTTTTATCATTAGGTATATAATATCCTGCATACGCAAGCATTTTTTGTCTAATTTCCTATCGTATAAAGCCTCCCCATGAGGGAGACAGACATCATTAGACAATAAAACAAAATGCTCAACCCCAAATATTTTTAGCTATTTAAGATGGTCTAAATGCCACGTTTCCTGCTTGCTCGTACTCGGTGGTTTAAATGAAAACCTAATATAGGCACTGTTGTATTATGGTACTCAAAAGCATTTTGTTCGTCATTACGGCCTGCATGTGTAGAAAAGAAGATGGATGAGTCTGTGTGAAGACGTACCAGTCTGTTTTATGGTTATGTACTGCAAATAGCTTTGAATTATATGAGCGTTAGATTACACTGTTGCTACTAAATGTTCAACAATAATAGTAACGATAATAGGAATACTAACAATAATTAATTGCTAATGAAAAAATCGCATGTAACGCAACGTTTCGACAAAATCAACAATTAATAGTAACGGAATTGTTCTACTCAAAAAAGCCTGTTTCTCTATTTTTCCTTCTCACTACCTCTGATGGGTGTTCATTGTTGGCCTGTACTGCCGCCTCATGGATGCGACTAAACAAAAAAGCTACTTGTCTAGAGCACATTACAGGCACCACGAATCTTACTGCCTCCGAACAATGACAGAAAAATGAGTTCTATGTAGTGTTCGAGTTCTCATTCAAATTCGAGACGAATATGAGAAATAGCCAATTCGAAATTTACAAGCTAATTAAGAAAGCAATACCAAAAGCAAGAAGTGTCGAACAAAATTTTCCGCCCTCATGTACATTCTTGTTGCTTATAATATGGAAATTTTAGTGACAATTAACCACCTAACGGGCAAACTATTTATGACAATGATCATAAAGTGCATTCGAATTCGCGTTATCCTTATTAGTTTATTGATTCCTCGTCGTGTTGTAAATTGCAGTAAATTGGGGACTAGATTGTTATGTTCGTCTTTCGTTCTTCACCAATTGTCATATATAAACAAAACAGGAAACAAGAATAAAACGCTTCAATTACCGATTTTCTATTACCATAGTGGCTAACACCACTGATTATTATGATACTATAATATGTTTGCTTTGCGTACACATAGATGTCATAGCTTAATGGCTTTCAATTCATCTCTACCCCCATTTTAGTGTGATTGAACTATTTGCATGGACAATAATTATAGTGACAACAAGTCTGTATAATATATGACGAATATGATGGTATCTTCGAGAGCCAGTGAAAACTTGGTGTCCCGCTCGACCGTAGCTTGATGTGATAGCTACCTATTGTATGTAGACATAAAGGAAATGCATTTGGAGACATCTTAATGTTATTTGTACATAATAAAAATAATACAAACATTGAATAATTGCAAACAACTCAACGCTGTCTATATTCTTGTATAAAAAGCCATTTAGTTGACGTTCGACGGACCATTAAGTAGCTAGCATATCTACAGTTGCTGCGGTATGACTTTGCAATTGTTAAATATGTGACTGATAAATGCAAATGACAAAAGGAAGTCGATAGCTAATATCAAAGCGTATCAAAGGATTGTTTTAGACAAGATTTTACTCCTCGATGTTTTACAGTCAGCCTTAAAAACAGAGCAGGATGACAAGGAAAATATGGGTGACATTTTGGTTACCATGCTCTACATTGCCTGTTTTACCATCAAAAACCATAATTATGGAGAGGTACATATGCCTAAAAGCACATGAGTGTGCGACTGCAAAAGTCAAATATCTGATGTCATTTTAGCAGCATTACAGCATTATTTGGAAGGCATTGACAGGTAGCAGTAAAAAGTTTTTACTTCTTAGAGCTATGCAGTAACAACCGGGGTGCCTCTGGGCATTCTATTCGTAGCTGTTAGGTGCACATGGAAACTACATTGTGGCCTAAGACGTACAAAAATAAGGAACAGCCCTCTGACACTGTTTGATTATATCTTTATTTTTTTATCAGTAACGTCCAGAATCTTTTCAAGAGCCATGCCACACGCCCGACATACGTCCTTGACCAAGATGTTAAGCTTTGTCATATAGAGATGGTGGTCTGTCAAGGGTTGAAGACACCGATGTGGCCCTTTCAGATCTCATACATCATAAGGCTACCTGCTCGTAAACCATCTGGGTGATGCTAATGATAAATACATGCAAAATTATATAATAATATAATTGTGCTATAATTCCGTGATTTTTATTTATCTCTTTTGGACTGTTGGAGTCACGTCAGAATGCACAGAAACCAGCAAGCCTTTTAAGAAAAACCCATCCGTTTTTGGGCCTCTATACGCACTCTTGCTTAAAACTAAGTCGTTTCTGGAAAAAAAGTGAAAAAAAACGTTGGGTCGTAGAAGTACTCGAAATGCTATTTTACCGAGCAAGAATATCTTTTTTAGCAAATCGAATTCCTTCAGATGTTCATTATATCTACGAAAACTTATTAATATTAGTAAATGCAGAGTGTATTATAATGGTAGTTTGCTCTCTGGAACTTAGCAACAAGCAATGACAAAAAGGAAATACAAAACAGAGCATCGAGGTTATATAAAATATACATTCCTTTTGTCTTTTGTATTTCCTTACCATGAGCAAACAAATTTTTCAGCTTTCTAATTTCTCAGACAAGGCCCTCGACGATAAGTCATTGACTTTGGGTCTTTTTAGGGGGGAATATGCGGGTAGAGTCATTTAACGATGTCAACCTGTGGTACATAATAAACTATATTTATTGATTCCTACTGTTTTGCAAGGTTATTGCTCATAACGCGGCCTTTGGAAGTTAGATGATTGGACGCTGCGTCTATCGACTAGCGATCATTATTTCTACGACTATCATGACAACCATAATTTGATAAATACTGTTTGTGCATTTTTAAATAGGCCAGTGCTAAGACACTGTATCGTCACCATTTGGGTAAATAGAATTTCGTTATGCTGCCTGATAACGGTACTCTGCTCGAAAAATATAGAACAGTCGCTGCAAAACCGACTTTTTTTTTTTTATCTGCAGACTACCTCTCTAGTCACCATGACCTAAGGGCTATGATATATATATATATATATATATATATATATATAAAGGAGAGAGAGAGAGATTTCTTGTTTTTCACGAGACTTTTGCCTCATTTTGCGTATATTCTAGGAATTCATTCTTCAATTAGCTCCGTTGGGCCGGTAAACTGTAAATCTTTATACACGATCGGCTATGATGGCAACTAATAGTTGAATTGTTTCTGATCGAACCATTACTGTTGTTACGTTGCTGCCTGACTATGGCAGACGAACAGGATGAAATAGACAACCAATAGCTGTTTGAGGTTCCGCTATTTGTTCGGAATGAAACATGACGGATGATCGATTGAGGAATTTTTTGTTACAAATGCGTTCATAATGCACAAATATGAGCGCATCTCACGTCACTGCCGCTCTGTTTCCCCTGTCTGATCTTCTAAGTTTACTTGGGAAAGAAAAATAGAGATTTCGTTAAGAACGGGCTACATACCGAGCATAGACACGTTTCGTTTCTTGCTTACAAGAGCCCGCCGTCGGAGGAAATGCCTGATATTCCAAATGTCAGACATATGATAAAAATATGACGTGTCCATCTCCCAGTAACAGAATTTGGGTCATTAGAGCAGTCAATTTGTATTGAGTCAGTCAGTGTCTGTTTCTATCATAATAAAACAGGTAATAGCGATCAATCACGATTCGATGATGATAGCCTTCTTTACACATGAGCTTTGCTATAAGGTGATCGAGGTGTCCACAATGAGCAACGTTGGCTAGCATCTTATCTACTTTTGGTATTGTTATCCATGAAGAGCTCATTAGGAGTTATGTAGGTTAACCGGCAACGAAATTATCGAAACAAACAGGCATGTATTGTAGGTATATTTACGAGCCGCTTACGAGTGCTCTATTAGGGGTAAGTGAGCAGAGAAATAATAAAGGACGAGGTCTGGGTCGCATCTAACTTCACGGCCGCCGGGATTCATTAATTGACTCAATTTTTCCTACTTTCAATACTTGAGAATGAAATTTGTTAGATATTAGCCACAAAAGACGCTGAAGATAAGTTTGCCTTGCGACAAGCCACAAAACCCAAAAGTAATTGTCAATACGACTTTTGTAAAATTAAAAACATTACGAATGCTACTCGAAGTAAGTGTTTCAAATAGAATAATTAAAATGGATTATTGATCGGGAGCCAGTAGTAATACAATGTGCTGCTGAGACGCGATTACTGAGACTAGTAATAAATCTCGTTCATTTGTACCAAATGTAGTTTTATTTGAACTTTCTTTTCTTTTATTTTATATTTTTTTTTCGCGCCAATATTTTTTCATACATGTGGATCAAAACAATAGTTATCTTTTCAGCAGCAGGTAATTAGTTCATGTTACCTAAGCATGGGCTCCGGTTGCATAAATTAATGAGTTATTTGTAAAAATCTTCTTTGGACTTATGGTCAATGGAATATCTATTGCTTAGGAATTGCAGGCTCAATCCTTAGCTGATTTAATAAAAATTTGACCGTGCACTAACTTCGTGGAAAATCGCAAATTGTAGTGGCTATATGTATCCAGCGCCGTCTTTTTCCGGAGCAAGTAAACACATCGATTTTAATAATTTAGCTCTGGAGTAGATGTGCCACTAGCTTCGAAATGTGGAGTAGACGAGTAACAAAATTCATTTAGACAAATTATTATTAAAAATTTCCTTTACTGCTATTAATCTCCATTAAACTTTGAAATACATTATATTCAGCAAAAACGGAGTTTAAATCTGCTAAAACGTCAGTACGATTAAATAAATTGAAGCTTCCCAAGTTTCCAATGAAGATAACTGTGATAGTTAAAGGACAGCACAATGTTGTTTAATCACTATTATTACATTATTATTTGTTAACTCAAACTCCTAAAATTATTTCACTTGATTTGCATGTAGTGTGCATGCGACTTATGGCAACAATTTCCATTTATTTCTTACTCTACGATCGATCGTTTGATTGAGATTAGGGAACGACCAAAAGGTTAAATAGTCACTGTGTGGAACTTCAGCTGGCTAGCTATGCTCTATGTCATTATCATTTATTACATATTACTGCCTTCACGAGAGTCGTCCGTAACCAGTAGTTTGAGGTATATTCTTTACGAATGAACATGTTTAAGTAGGAGCATATGTAATGTTAATAGCTTATTCTGATTTTATGATTTTCATACATTTTCATGGAAAACACTGAGCCTTTATTGTGGTTGTAACAAGCAAGCCTGAATACGTATTCATAATCGTTATCCCAACGATCATATTTTGTTTTCAGGGTGGACTTTACTCCGTGCTCAACACGGATGTACTTTAAAGAAGCCATTTTTTATTCCTATCCACAAAAAATATTTAGTGCCAATTTTTTAATACATAAAAAATATTCTCAATAACTGATGAGACAGGTGTCTTTTCTATGTAAAGTATATGTAAGAACTCATGGCTATAAATCTGTACATCATGTTAAAATTCTAAATATTGTCATCTGTAGGGAAGTTTTGTTATGGAGATTAGTCTTGACTCAACTGCTTTCTAAGGGGCTCACTAGGTATGTTATCCAAATTATTGTCAGTTTATTATATTCAGCGATCAACGAAATACCCACTTTGTCGTCACTGAGTTTGGCATTACTTCCTCCAATGCAAAAAATATTATTAGGAACCAATAAATACATTGTTTCATTTTCTGTGCATACTTTATATGTGAGCGATCTCCTCAATAATTTTCCCAGCCTTGGTTGATCATCTGTGTTATTCAAATTTGGCGCGTTCCAATCTAGTCCAGTGGCACAGGGCGGGGACAAATCTGCTGCGTGCCTGGCGCACGATCCACTATCTATTAACTCAATAGGCCCGCCCATTGCTGTGTTGCTAGTTAGCTCCGGCCAGAGGCAGGTTCGTTGCTGTGCCTTCTGGTGGTCAGGAGATGTTAGGTAGTAGATAAATGCGAGGGGCTCAGAAACAGGCACATAAGCTGACAGCGTGGGAGCAAGCGGGCTGCTTGCCGCTCGCACTGGAACATGCAAAAGGGTGACCGCTCACAGTAGAATATAGCGCCTTCTTCGATTTGAAAACTTCCAGTGGTAGCTGCCACCCGTTAAGGCGGCCGGCCTCCTTGACCGTTTTAGACCCGCCGCGGCGGTGGCTAATATCGGACGACAGCGACGATACTAGCAGCGGCTTCGCAGCCATTAGCCTAGCGTTACTGCTTTGCTGTTGGTTGCGCTATACACTGGTCGTTGCTCATCCTCCGCTAGTCACATCTACTCTTGCTATTGATGACGTTGGGTGAAAAGAGAAAGGTAAAAGAGAAAGGACTGCCAGTTGCGCCCCGAAGGTTGCCGCTGGGTACTCCGACTACTATTTGTTTTGCTTTTGCCGTGGCTGGTTCCAGCTTCGGCGGCTGACTTTGTGGCTCGTTAACAAAAGTCGCCCTTGATCGCAGCTGCTGTTACTGCGGGCTGTGTAGGCTATTACAATCTGCTGCCGTGTCTGCACTCACTGTACATCTCAGTAGCCGTCATTCGGCGCGTCACCACCCGCCACTCTGTCGGCAGACTGTGCCGCGCCTACTAACCGAATAGGCTTGGCCGTTTGCTCCTCTGTCGACTCCCTCTCTCTCCTGCTCTCCCGTCTCACTGCGTTTGGATTTGCTATTCTCTCTCTAGCTCTCTGTTCGCGCGCTTGCAGTGCGGCTCGGTGCGCCGAGACGTAGCGCTCGCCAGTGGCGGGCGGCACAGCCCATCGTGCGCACAGTCGAGCCAGCAGACAGCAACGAACAAGTGCCAGCGCGAGAGCGAAAAGCGCTAGCTGGAACAGCATGCGCCGTGGCGGCGGCGGCGGCAGCGGCCGTAACACCAGCGGGCTCGGCCAGACGTTCCTATCCCGCTCCCACTCTTTGATTCACCGCTGATCTATCGGCGCTGAGCTGCAGGCAAGACGGAGGGCGTCAAGAAGGTCTGCTGAGGTGACTGTCTGCTCGGCGGAGAGCGCTCCGCCAGAGAGATTAAGGCTAAGGGTGCCAGATGGCGAACAGACAGAGGCTGGGCTAGCGCTCACGGGCTTGGCGGCAGGGAGACGCTCGATGGCTACTACCAGCAGGGAGCATTAGACGACGACATATACAGTCACTATGGCATAGCAGACGCGTTGCTAACTAACGACAGAACGGTGAAGGCAAGCGCTTAGGCGGGCATCCACCCGATCGGGGAGAATATGTTTGAGCAATTGGGAGAGCGCTCTTGGCCGAGTAAAGGCTCGCTCTTTCTTTCTTTTTCATTACCCTTTATTTATCTAATGTTCTCTTCCGACCATTTGCCGTTGCATAGGGAGTCGTCTAATTAGGCAGCCTGTTCGCGGTTGCGCGATGTTGGCAGTAGCAGCAAAGCAAGGAACGGACTCTAGTTGCTGTGACTGCATATCTGTCTAAAGGAGTGAATAGGTGTATGTGTATGTTTGCAATGGGCAATGACGTTGAGGGTGCACACTCGTGGGTTGGGGAAGTCTCCGAACATCTCCTGTCCATCAGCTGCACAGCACCAACCAGCTAGTCAGCTTGCTTGAGCGATAGCTATTACACAGGAAGAATAGCAACATACTGCATCTAACATTTAACACATCGCATAAAACACACAGCAGTATAGACGAATACTCCGTAGTGAGTGCGTGCGTGCGTGCGCGCGCTGCGCAGCCGCTTTCGCTTTTGGCACGCTATCTACAGGGCCGTAGAGAAAGAGGCCGCTAGTTGGCTGGTAGTCGCAGACCGAGAAGGGCAGCGGCTGTGACAGCGCCGCAGCGTTAGCGGCCGCCATGCTTTGGTGATGTGGGGTAGATGAGTGCGCTTCTGGTACAAGCAGACCAGCAGCATCGGAAGTACCGATCCCAGCCAGTAGTGGCGGCAGTGCCCAACAGCGGCAGCTCTGCGAGTGAGTGAGAAGTTTCTTTGTCTATCCGTGTTTCCGCTATTATATGAGTGTCTGTGTGTCTCTGGAGTCGGGTGAGCCGAACGAGCGGGTTAGCAGCAACGCAACCAGATAGGCAGGGTGCATCGTCGGCCCGGTGCAGTTCGTCGTCGGTGCGGAGCGGTGAGGTGTATCCTATCACGCATCGTTTCGTATGATCGTATAGAGAGAATTAAAATAGCTGGCCGTGCTGAGCCGATTTCAATTGAGGGGTGGTCGTCGTTGTTGTTAGTTGCCAAGAGTGCAGCAGCCCCCCGGTGGTCGCTGGTTGGGCTGGTTAGCGTGCGGTGAGATGCGAGGTGTGACTCGGTGCGCTGAAGTGCTAAAAGTAGAAAAGGCAGAAGTGTGAAGTTTGCGAACTGAATTGAAGACGAAACGCCACAACTATAGCGCTTGGTCAACTGTGCCAGGCTAGCTGCAAGCTGGCAGTGTGGGCGCCGGCATGCATCGCGAGCGGGATCCAGAAACGACGTGCGAATAGAGGAGGTCGGAAGGGCCATGCAAAAGAAAACCGGCCCTACACGCTGTTAATCATCATTTCTACTTCTTCTAGATATCGACGAGTTCTTTATTGCTAATTCAAATCGGAATCGTTGGCCAACCCCGTGTAAGCAACTCGCTGCACGGCCGACAAGTCGACCCAATTCGTTTGTCGAAATCATACTGGATTGTCTGTTATATTATGTGTTAACCTAGCGGGGACTTAGTAGCAGGCATCGCAACTCGTTGCCGGCGGCATCAGCAATTCGAGCGGACACAGCATCCGCCTACAGAAGCAACCCGGCAAAGTTCACCAAAACAATCGACGATCGCTAGACCCTACGGTAGACGCCAATAGTTACAGTAGCATCGGAAGCACGGCCCATCCCGTAGGCCTAACGCCAAACACTATTTCGCCTGCTGTGGTAGCAGCGGCAGCAGCAGCAGCAGCCTCAGCAGCAGCAGCCGCAGGGATCACAGCATAGCGCCGAGCTAAAGCTCCTATTTGCTACAAATAGGCGAACTTCAAGTGGATTGCCAGGTAATGTGTGAAACGCCTCAAGTGTTAAACACGGTTTGCGAGTGCAGACTGTGCGTTGAACCATTGTGTCGTCGTGGATTCGCGTGTGAATAATCGAATGATTGGGTGTAAGTGAGCTTATTGCCGCCTCTGTTGGATAGGAACGAATCAAATCGAGTGGATATACCGCTAGTAGGCCAGAGTCAGGCAGGTCAGAATCGTGGATTACCGACCAAGACCTTTTGCTGTCCACCACCAGTCGTGCAGGGAGTGGAAAAAAGACATCGAATAAGCTGCTAGTAATCGTTAGCAAGTGAAAGGCAAGCCAGCCGCCAGATCCGTATTGCATATCGCAACAGTACTAGCAGCAGCAGAATCAGCGGTACTTGCAGGTTATGTCGATGTCCATCAACCAGTTCGAGATGCTGTGCGAGTCCGTAACTCAGATAGCTAGAGGGAAGCATTTACGCTAGGAAAAAGAGGAGCAAGTTAGGAGCGATTGTTCGAGAGGCAAACTTCGATCATCGGCAAGGGCTTATGGTTGCGACGGGCTATGATGTTGGTAGCGGTATTAACCAAGTCGATCCCCGCCGTTATTAACTGTTGCAGACTCAGCTTGTTGCTCATTCAGTTTCGTAGCTATTGGACGGCTCGGTTCTCTGATTAAAACAGCGGCGTTCGCTATTGACGCAGGCTGCAGCTAGTCTCCTTGCACTGGTGATATCTACCTCCTGATAATAAGTATTTCCTTCATCGAAGAAACAGAAACGCCGCAACAGATTGCAGGTCACTATAGGTAAATAAATGCTCGGTGCGTATTAATGCTGAGGTACTGCATATCGGACTGATGGTTGTATGGAACAGTCTATGTTAGATAGAATATATGTCTACAAATCGAGGTGTATTCAGATGCAGATCGTTGCTGCTGCTGCTAGTGATAGAAGCTGTGTATGCAGCTAGTGTACAGAGCGAATCCTGAGTGGCCTGCTTGTTCCCTCCTCCCGACTGTCTGGCTTGCTTCAGTCATCCAATGGTAACGACGGCGGTGGTAACTGGTTGTGACTAGCAGTGTTCATTGCTGACGGTGGTAGCTGCTCGGGCGGTCCGTCGGGTATCAACGGATCGATCCGTCGTAGATCCGCCCTGCTCCGCGCTGCAGCGATATTTGCGTCGATTCACTCAACAACTGGTCGCTGCTACGGTGGGCTACAACCAAAAAGATCCTGTGTGGGCGCCTGCGCCCCTTCGATGGCTGACTGCGTTAAGCGATTGCCACTCCTCATTGCTTCCCGTATTGCTGCTTGCTTGTCATGATGACGGGCGATGACTGTTGTCCGTGGCAGCAACAGCGCGGGCAGTAAAAGCGCCAACACCGTGACAGCGTCCGTTACGTGTGATCGAGCTGGGAGAGGCGGATCTAGCAACGGGTGGTCACTAGAATCGGTTATGGGACTCCGGTTCAAATCTATAAGTGGTCTGCCGTTTGCTAAGCAGTGTTAGTAAGTATAGAAGGCCTTCTAGAGGCTTATGCAGCCATCGCCCTGGTTTCGAGCAAGCATTCGAACACAGCAGCGGATATAGATCACTTGGCTTGACATGCTCGACATGTCAGGTTTTGATCCTTTAAATCCCGACTAAAGCCACGGTATCAAGCCTGTTTGCTTACCAACAATGCCTAACCAAAACCGCGTATTATACCAAGAATCCCGGTATTATCTCGTATTACCTTGGAGCAAGCTTCAGAGTGGTTCACGTTGCAGATGGTGAAGGCAGAGGGGTGCAATTTTTCTGTGATTATTGCTCTGCAGCAGTTTCCAGAGCACGATGCGGGAATCTTCATCGATCAGATCAATCCTTCCATCCATCAAAGTGTTTTGACTGGACCACTTAGCAGGTTGGAGCGTCGCAGCTAATAGCGTTCATTCGAGCCGGTCTGGGAGAGGGGAGACTCGCAGTTCGAAAGTGGGTAGAGTTAGGCCTAAGAGTTTACTGGGTTGTCTGGTCAGATTAACAATATACAAGTGACTGGTAGTCACTGCTGCGACCTTTAGACAGGTTGTTTGTTGCCGATCCTATGGGAATGTGTTCGCAATGCGCGAACAAGTGTTATTGTATTGTTGAACCCAAACATGAAGTTGCGTATGTGGTCGATTTGTGAATTTTTGCAAATGGCTTTCGTTATCTGAAAGCTGTTGTTGATCAACCAAATATGTGTTGCCTGATCGTCGTTGATTCTTTGATAAAATCGCCGGGAAGTCAGCGACTGTGGCGCCAACAGGCGGGAAGCCGCCTGTTGGCGCCACAGTCATCGTGATGGTCTTTGCTGTGAAAGTAATTGCGCAGTGATCAGTCGTGGATTAAGTGATTGAAGGACTCCATCGATGAATGCAGGGTAATCGGGCGGTCGGCAAAGGGGGAGGCAGACAGGTTGATGGTCGTCCAAAAGACGGCGAGGGGTAAACAGGTAAAAGAAGCCGCCTGTTGAATAGTGTCAATCATGACGCTACTGTTGGAAATGCAGGATAGCCCAGAAGGGGGATCAGAAACAGTGCAATGGAGATTCGACAACGCAATGGTGCTAGCAGGTCGCAAGACCGCTAACGGGACGCGCGACTGCCCATTAATCTCCTGCACAAGCGGAATTAGATTGAATCGTACGCCAATCTCGTAAACTTGCAAGCATGTGAAGATGTAGAATGAAAGCAAAAGATATTACAGCTAGAATTGACAAAAGAAGCGGTACACGCCCGATTTGGTACGCAATAAACGTATTGTATTAGATCTACCATCATAGTTCTAGGCGCCTAAACGCAGCATCCTTCTTGGATAATATTATTATTAAATTATGGACGGAACAGTTCGATGGCAATTCGCTCAGCCGTCAGCCGAGTATGTTTGAACTATGTTAGCTCTCGTTATATCGATCTGCGAAGAGCTGGTCTGAGCGTAGACCAACGTAGCGTAGATTGTTATTCTTGGATATTACATCGCGCATTCATGTTCTGTATGAGAACTATGCGAGATATTAGATTTAGCGGGATATATTGCTTATACGATTCGCTGTGGTGATCACTGCCCTGTATTGCGATAGGCGCGTATTTTAACTGTGGCAGCAAAACATTTGTGGCAAACTTCGATAAAGAAGAGCTGATGTAACCTTCTTTTGCATGATGCTTCTTGATAAACGTGCTGCTTATGACAGAGGTACATAAACTGTGAAAGTGCAATCTGTCATAAGTGGGTTGGTAGGCCTGAATTGGTGGGTTGGCCGGAACAGCGCGCCTGACTCGAGATTTCTGCGTTCCGACCTATGCACACCGGTCGAAATTCTACAGCACCCAAAGAAGCACTATAAACAAGCGTTTGTGCCGAATAACTTTCTGTAACTAGTTGACGTTTAAATATTAGATGCAATTGGTCCCCCCTCCCCTTGTGTATTTCGTCCTTAATATAGCCACTGGCCCTACACTTGTATGGCTATTATTCGCCTTTACGATATCGAGGGCAAATTTATTATTGCCCATTAGCAACAATAGGGTTATTCGACCGTTTGTTACAGCTTTTGTTACCGTTGCTAATTGTAGAACAGCTTATCGCGTCAAAAAGCAACACTGTAAGCGGCAATGACAGGCCCCTCGAAGTATTCCATTTATTACCAACCAAGGCATAAGCGGCAACTCTTTCCAAAGACACCAGCGGAAATCCCTTGCCGCCGCCGCCGCACTATTATATTTATTATTGTAAATCATATAATAGATGTAAGGCAATCGTTGACTTCAGAATGTCTAGGGCTCGAAAGGAAATCGTGATGACAGTGTGCCAGCTGCGTCTCTAACCTAATGAGCTGTCGACTGAAACGGAATGAAGGAAATTTTAAGAGAGTGGAATTTGGGAGATCTGTACATACTCGTTCCTAGCAGACAAACACGACACATTCGATGTTGCATTGCCACAGATTACCTTTTATGTACGTGCCATCGCCTTCGTCTTGCTCCCGAAAGGCAACACATTGTGACACAATAGTTCGAAATTCGATACGGAACTCTATCATATAAACGAAGTTGTTTTTTCGGTCGAAACGATTTTATACTGGCATGTGTATAACGTTTCGAGAAAACTGGTAAGACAAGGTAAAGGAGGTAGAAGCATTAAACAAATATGCTCTGTCGTCGAGACCAGAGATTTGGGAGTACGTGATTATTTCTTTCCAAACAAATTCCGCTTATAGTTTTTACACGCCCATTACAAAAAAAGATGCTAATCTCTATGATAGTAACGGTAAGAACAGAATTTAATGGTACACACGAATCAGTCGTACCTTCGTGGCTGACAAATAACTGCGGATTAAAAAAACCAGTAAAATCGTGCCAAACACATAGTTCCTGTTTACGTTTTGGGACTAGCCTTCTATTGGTATCAATTAAACCCAGTTCTTTGTCGCTAGGCTTATAAAAAAAGATTCTAATCGTAATAACCTCCCATTAGGCTAATTTCAGTAGGTTCAAATTGACCTAATGATCGATTCGTCGTTGTAACAAGATACTTCTTTTGTGTAAGCGATTCAGCGTCTATTTCTATTACAATATATAGAGAAAAAAAACCCTTTGTTCGAAAAATTGACTCCTACAAAAATGCGATTTCTTGGTAAAAAAAAAGTTAGTAAACATCTTCCTTAAATCATTAAGTTAGTACAAATTTTTTGTTCTGGTATGCCAAACGTGATAAGAAACCTTTTCCGCCGTTTACCCTAAGTGAACTAACCGAGCAAAAAAAATTTCTTGGAATATACGTTTTTTGCTTGTTAATGCTGTTGGTGAGATTATAGCTGCGATTAGCTTTTTTTGTTGAGAAGATACTCTCTCAGCTGCCATCGAGTTGACGAAGCATTGAGGAAAGCTGGCTGGAAGGACAGTAAGAAGGGATAAACTCCTTTAGTGGGAAAGCCTCCGGTGGTAAAACTGTTTCTGATACTGTCACCGCTATCAACACTATCTTCAGCAGCCAGTTCTCAACTTCAGGAGTCATGCAGTTACACTAATACAATCCATGCTAAGTTAGTGTGCGTACGTCGTAGACACCACTGGCGGTGCCGCTACTTTACGTACGTACAAGGCACAGATCATTCTCGCTTTCTTTCTCATTACGCCAACGAAAGGATTTCTCGGCACGCGAATGTGTCGGCTCACGCTTGCCATGTCGAATAGTAGGACGTAGTATGAAGGGCATCTTTGCCACTGCTTCCCATAGCACTCTTGCAGTAGTGCTTGGCTGGAGTGAAAGGGCTGGTACCACCACTAAGTTGGGCAAATAGAGTAAATGTATGCATCGCTGTTGCCTTCCCGCCACCTCAGTGTCTGTCACAGGCTGGTTCATACGTTGGTAGGTCGGACGGTGCTTGACGGGGTGGGTCGAATGATCCGTTACCCGCCCATTCGGTCGCCCAGTGCGCTTGTATTTGGTCGCTGGAGAGATTGGCTACGATTGCTGCCATCTCTGTGGTAAGAATGCCCTTTAGCCCGTTGGGTGATTGCTGGAGGAGGGTTTCGGAACGTTCGGATGCTGTGGGCTATGGCTGTTCCGTTCTAGGTCGCCTTCGCCGAGCGAAAATTCACCAGTAACGGGGATCGTCTGGGGATAACCCAGCATTTCTGCTGCCTCAGATCTAAGAATACTTCTCGTGTTATTTTTAAAACAGGGCTGTTGGTATGAGCAGAGGCTGTAGTAGCGGCAGCTGCGCCATTGCTAACAGCGTTACTTTTAGCAGCCATTTTGGCCTGACACACGCCGTGCACTCGTACTTACAGTGCATTTACTGTGGCATGCCATCAATGTTAGCTTGGTATCGTAACCTGATCTTTCACTGGCTTACCTTATATCATGCCTTATTACCGTAGCCGCTGTTGTCTGCTACTAGCGTTCGCGTAGTTGTAACGCTTTCACCAGGGGCTGTGGAGGGAGTGGGGTGCCGTCCTGTTGGGGGAGGACCAGCACCAGCAGCTCTCGTTTACCTATAGGAGCTGTTCGAAAGGCGATCTTTGGCTGGTTGAGTCGTTCCGTTCTCCTATCGATAAGCGAATCAATTACCAAGAACAACCATTCAAGCAACATAAGTGGTGCATTGTCGGTGATGACCGCGGTTGGGTTGGATTTTTAATCGTCCACACGATTAACAAGATAGTGGTCCTGTTACAGATGTTAGAAGCGATACTATTACTATTACGCTTGCATCCATCGATCAGGAGCTAATCTAACCGAAACCAGAGGAAACGCTCATCTTGTGAAGGCAGAGTTTCGCTTGAGTTTAGAGGCTCTCTTTACCGGCCAGAATAGAGAAAGACAAAGATTTAGATAAAGGAAAAGGTACAGACACCCACTTTCTTACGGCCATTTCGTCTCAGTTAGCGTAAAATCTTACACAGTTATTATGTTGTTTACTTTAGTGCCATCTGTTAGCTTATGCGAGGCGCGCGATTCGCTCATACAGCCTCCATATCGCATGCCCTTGATTCTATTTCGTTTCTGGTTATTGCATTTTATCGCCTGACCAATAAGTGCACACCAAACTAATTCCTTGTAACAGACGATTTAGAGGACGATTAGTAACTAGTATGAATATAGATTCACTATTTGTTTCGAGGAAGACGTAGCGCGTCAATGTTCCGTTACAGCAGCTGGATTCGACAATCATTGGCCGCCTGTTCCATTGTGGGCCCTTCTCAGTCACGCTGTCGGCGCAGCGCACGGAATTCTTTTCCGGAGAAGCCCACAGGCGTCTGAGAAGCGTTCGCACATTAAGAAAGATAGAAACAAACGCAAACTCGACCCGACCCAGGTTCAATGGTGAAGAAGTACTTTTGATAAACTTTTGGATAAAAGGTTGTGTCAAGACAACTCAGGGCCAACATTTGAGTAATGAGTACGATTGTCTCAAGATTAAGTAAGCCATTGTGGTACAATACGATAGTATGGTGAATAAGACGGTAAAATAAAATATACACCACAGAACTGGTTCGTCATTATCCATAGTTATCTTTCCCTCCAATTATGTGAATGCATGAGTGTACCTAGTGTACGCGCTACATAGAAAGGTTAAGAAGTTCAAGTCGATCAGTTCTTAACGGACAATTGTTACTCTTCGGCTTCGGCCAGTTTTTGACGATTTGTTAATGGAAGATTCGAATTCACCAAGGCAGCTGCCCCGAATACAGATCTAATCTTTTATCAGCTGACAATTCCAGTTTCTAAACACTATTATTATTAACTTTGGTGACTTCTTCTCTTTCGCTAGTTGAGATGCATGAAATTGCTCTTACGAAATCGCTTCCTGATTCGAAAATGAGTATCAGCGCTACCATGAAAGTTACCTGTTCTACTTTCCACTGCATAATAACCTTTTTCATAATTTTATCTCTTATTTATAGCAACAACCACGTATTCCAAATCTCATTTCTAAGAGGATGTGGTGACAGATTGTAAATGGCAACTCGTATAGGTCGTATAAGGATCAGGTGTCTGATATCGGGATGCCGCAGCGTCGCAGTGATGTACTGCGACACCTCAGATCAAACCCCAAACAAAACCCAAACGAAAGGAATTTTCAGTGGTATTTGTACAAACGTTGTTCAACGAAGAAGATACTCAGAGTTGTATTATTGTGGCCTGGAGCGTTATTTACGCGTATGAACAAACCAGCCAAACATCTATAAAGTATCACTCTTTTATACCCTATATAATAGTCAATGCATAGCCACTACATATGGATTAATTGACACTATGTTGAGCTATTAGCAGGTGCTCTGAATGTTACTTGACCGTTATTGCTGAAGAAAGTGATATTAAATAGACTAACACCACCATTAATATTGTTGCTGGAATCAGTCCATTTTTGATTACATCGTCCAAGTAATTTATTTGGATGCTGTGATCAGATAAGTAAGATCTGACTTATTTATCATTCGCCCTGCAACAAGTATGGCCAATGCCAGACACCAACATTATAGACGTCATTTCCAGTTGCTACAAGTTATTCTAATCTGTATCCGTTAGTTTTTGTTTCGCCCATGTAGGCTGTTGATGTTTCGCCCGCTTATTGCAATATTCTGTGTGCACGCACGTTTCTGCTGGCATGGTAAAATGGGCAGCGGAACGAAAAGCCGACAGCGAGGGGTGCAAAAATCAGCGAGTCCTTCGGTTGCCTTCTGGGAGCCCCGAGCAGTTCGGTTTCCGCCGGCGGCTCATAGACTTCCAGCGACAGCGCGTTCTAGCGTCCGATCTTATAATGTTAGTTTCTTCACTGCTGCATTGGCAATGGCAGTCTAAGTAAACTTGAAAGAAACTGCGAAGTGACTAGCTTCTACTACACATCGACAGAAGAACTAAACGTGTTTTATAATTGTTTGCTGTACGTCGACTGGATAGTAATGCCGACAAGGCGGTGGTGTGCTTTATCACGCGAATATCAATAGTTCGTATTGTTAACTCGAACGACGCGTTTCATCTAGCACTGAGGATGGGGTCATTCTAAACCGAAAGGGATAGAACAATCAGATCTGGGTCGCATTGTTGCAGTGTTTATCTATTGACACGGAACAATCGCAGAGCACGGTTGCCTTATAATGTCTGTTCTCCATATAGCCCCCCCTTGCATTCTCTATTTATTACGAGTAAAACAATATTCCTGAACTTTTAGTATTGTAAGTATCAATACAAGTTTTTTTCGAGCTCATGCTACCCATTTTGTACTTCCTTGTAGACGTAGCTTCGGTAAATTCCGTTGAGATTTAGAGCATAAAAGGCACATTTTGTGTGGGCGCCCTATAGATTGGCCTGATTTGGCTCAGCTTCACTCTATTTACCTTGTGTGCTCGCTGTCGCATTGTCGAACCCCTTGTTGTGTCTGTTGTCGCTTTCACTAAAATTCTGATAGTTCCAAAGTAACACGAGGTACGATTCCGAGCATTCAAAATGGTAGTCGAATTAGTTTATACTTTGTGCAGGACTAGCAGCTCATGCTCTTGTGGATAAGGATATAAGCTGCTATATATATATATATATAGCACGCCTGACCAAATGGCCTGATTGATCTAGCTGACAATTCTTCCTATTTTTTTTTTTGTATATTTGCTACAATCCAGAGCACGCCCACTCGAGTACCAGCAGCAATCGTAGTAGTTGTAGCAGCAGTAGTGGATAAGTACGGAAACTCTACTCTGGTCGGTTCGTTCCCCTGAACAGCGCACGATCGAAAGCTCCGCTGGCATTATCCGTGCAACTGACGAAACGAGTGAACAAGGGTCAATGAGGCTCCAGCAGACAGAGTCCCGATTACAACGTTCGCTGCCGTTGCTTCTGCTGCTATTCATCTTACAGCTGCTGATATTATTGCTATCGATTGCGGTGGTGCTGACGTAGCTCAGGAAAGACGGCGCTGATCCACAGCTGCTGATCCAAATGGAGCACGCTGCCGTCGCTGATCGCTGATCACTGCTTCATCCATGGCACTCTTGTGGTTGACAACACAGTGTCAAGAGCTATTCGTCCGCTTTGTCTAGGACAGTTCGTGCTCTAGCGGTTCTCGCAATAGCCCGGCCAGCATAAACGCTAGAAGCAATAGCAGCGAATCCATACTGCCTATTGCAAACCGCGATGGAGAGTGCAGCAGCAGCAATGAGGGCAATATCACCAATGTGCCCATTATAGTAAAAAAAAAAATGGATTTGTCTAGCTTCGTTGAGCGAGTCGCTTTTTGGCCGTTATACAACTCGGGCAGAAGTAAAAACGTTTTCAATTCGTAATCACGTAATCCTAAATTTAGTAAACAAACACGTTCGAAACGGGGCGTAGACGCAGTTCGCCGCGCGGAAGAGGCCAATCGTCTAAAGCAATGTTAAAATTAGGCAGTACCGGACGTAAAACTCCAAGGCTTTTATTTATTTAGTAATAATAGCATCGATTTCTATGCTTAATTCATTATCAAGCGAGTTCCACCAACGAAGGTCGAAGGCGACCATCATTCGCTTGCCTGTCCTGCCAGGCCAACTTGCTAGCTTGTGTCGTTGATAGTGTCGGTATAAGGGTCGAACCACAATGTCACTGAACGTCTACGAAACGCGCTGTACCGACCATCGCTGTAAACAGTATACCAGCCGCATCGGTATCAGCAGCAGCACACTTCCTGCTCACTTGTTTGGTTCACACATTGCAACAGTACCTTCCTGGGCGCTGCGGCTTGCCATGATCAATGATGCCGACGATTAGCGGGAACTAGCTCTTGCTGGTGACTGATAGTTGTTGTTATTTGGCAAAGCACCCGTTGATGACCGTGCTTCACTCTATTCTAACCGCGACAGAGACAACAGCAGCGTGCATTGACAATAGCCAAAACGCTTCCTAACAATAACAATAAAAACAACAGTCATGTCATTGCAATAGTAGAAGACGTACACAAAGGGCATGAATCAGCTTACACGTATTTATTAAAGGGGGGCGGCCACGTGCTAGATTGATTTTAGGCTTTTGGTTATTGTGAAACTTTTTGACGGAAGCTTTTTTTGACCGATAAGTCTATGTTGGACATTTTTACTCGTTAGTCACGTGCCGCGATTTTTCCTGATGATACAATAATAAATGTAATAGCAATAAGATCGAGGGTATTCGACGCGCGTTCCGGTGGTTGTCTTGTCACCCATTGAGGTCTATTATGTAAGCATGTTCATGCGTCACGGACGCTTCAGCATATCGATAATGCCAGGGTACAGCTCAGCGATTTATTTCCGACAAAAAAACAAAGAATCGTTTAACTTTTTCGTTAATTTTAATATCCAATAATTGTGAGGGAGCGGCTAGGATATGCTGTAATATAGTGTTTAAATCAAAATTCGTTATCCAGAAATGTCCATAGCTCATAAGGTATCAACGAACTATAACTGATATAACCGACGATAAAACGAATCACATACAGAACCATTATCATCGATCACGAATATTACATAATGCTTACCGTAGGGCGAGGATTTAAATGTCAACGCCTTACGTTAACCCACTTAGACATGCGTAGATGTTATTTGGAGTGGCAGATCCTTTTGGTAATCTGGCGACTCCGGGTTAACCTGTCACTACTGTACATAGGCTAAATGTCTAAGCTAGCAACAGCAAGCTAAAAATCTTGCGCTAGCAGAATGAGTTTCACAAATTGCATCGCATCCATAAACTGCGTAGCGTTTCATTATGTGTACCTGTTACAGGTTAACTTGTTTCCTTCGGCAAATAAGGACTCCTTCCGAAATTTGCTTGCAAGTTTGCCTAATTTCGATTATTTTTTCGTTGCATTACAAATAAGTCGATCGTCCTTATCCTTTTGGGAAGTCTCAGCACAGACAAACCCGAATGGCCGAAAGACAAAAGCTCATATGGTTGCCCGAGTACAGTGTCAGACTCGTTGCTTTTAAAGCTCAAACACTGCTAGCAGGAATCGTTAGCACTAACACAAGAAGAATTGAGCCTGCTGGTTGTGTTCAAGCCACAAATTCTTTTGTCCCTGGGCGTCGTCAACCCGTTCATATTCAAGGGGCTTGTTTGCCACTTTTTAAACGAAGCTGTGGGGCCAATTTGCATCCCTCAAGATTCTGTTGACATGCCATGTTAGCAGTGGTTGGTAGCCGTTGTCACAACTGATAGCGGTTAAGCGACCCCTCTGTGACCCCTGTAACGCCAATAACAGCGAAAAAATATTCCTTTTGAAATCCACAGCGTTCCTAGCACAAGATACATATATGATGCTAACGGTGATCGTTGATTTAGCCGCTATAAAGTCACAGCCCGTTGAGACTTGTTGTTGATGATAAAAGCAAAATACACGCTTATTGGACAGTGTGTGTGTGTGCGTGTATGTGTACGTGGGTGTGTGTGTATGTGTGTGTGTGTGTGTGTGTGTTACTGGACGTACAAGTTGAATAAAGAGCAAAAACCCGCCTGAACGTAAATACTGGGCTCACACATAAATATACGCAGATGATGCACATAATGGGAACATTGACTGGTCAACTGCTCTTGCAATGATTACTTAAAGAACATGTCTTTACATGTCATTAAGCCGTATCGTTAATAGTTTATATAGTTATTACGAAAACAAACATAAGTCTCGATCTGCTTGCTGTGCTTTTACAGAGAGTGCCTTTTTTTCATTACTTTCAAATACAAGGAATGCAAAGGTATCCAAGATGTATATGTATGATTAAATACATCAATACACAAACCACACTGACACTTTAAAAGTACATGGTGAATAGGATTGCTTGCCTTGTATTACAGATGCAGCGCAAAATTTTCAGAACGTATTTTTATGCATATAGTGATATTTTTCCAACACACAAGAATAGCGCCATTACTAAATAATTGATTGGTTAGTCGATTGATTGGTAATTAACAAATCGACATGACACAGACATCACCTTTTCTTGGATATGTTATCATTAGTATTTCTACTGTGATTGAATTCGCTACATCATCGTGGGGTGGTTGTTCATCACCCAGCCCAATAATCAGCAATCCCATTCTTCGACCGAATTGGGTTCATCGGCTTGCACTTGTTGGACAGCTGATCGACAGACTTGTCTGCGCCGAATCATAGCTATTACCTGAAATTATCAAATCCATTGTTTGTGCTTGGCTAGATAAAGTCGTAACATTTACGGGCTATATAACAAATACTGACTTGAAGCAAGCTCGACAGCTTGCTATCCAGGCTTCAGCATGGGTTAGGCTAAACTAGGCTGTGCCTCTCTCTTGGTCAGGCTATGGGACGCCCCAGTGAGATTCGTTCTCTAAACATTACGCCACAAGCGATGATGTGAAGTATACAAGCAATAAGAGGATTTTTCATGCAGACGTATCACATAGAAAGAACGCGTAATGCGTCTGAGAAAAGAACAGTGTACTGTGTGACGTCTCTAATGCTAACCTTTACAATAGTTGAAACAAACGATGATACCGCTACTATACTGACGATGAAAGCTATTGCAACAAACAAATACCGGCGCAGGCATCTAGCAAATTCCGTGTTTAGCTCTGATCCTATATTGAACCGTTCCGTAGATAATGCTGGTTGTCTATTATTTGAAGGATAACTGTAGCCTCAGTAATGATAGCTTTTTCGTGCTGAAAAAATTGCAATAAACACAGCAGTGGTTTGTCGTAGACGATAATGGGGGTAGATAGTCTTCACGTGGGTACAGTACGACGTGCGCCAATGAAAATCTCTTATGATTTCGGTCAGCGGCGCATGACCATACACCGTCATGCATTATGAATTATTTCTGTATGAAACGCTGTAAATTAGTTGGTACCATACCGTAAAGCTTCGTTGACAACCCTTTATAGTGGCAGCGTCGACTTATGTAGATTTGCAACAAAACAGTTCATGTCGTGAAAACTGAACTGCGCAAGTGTAAAACCGAGTTGTTTCGTCGATGTTCTTAGATTGTGATTTAATTTGTGATTACCTCCAGTCTCCAAAATTTTGCTTGTCTACTTTTGTTTACCATCTAATAACAAAATTTGTAGACGATAACTAAACACATCGACGAGCACTAATCAAAAGGTCATCAATGTTTTACTTCTCACTACCCTGAGTCAGACAAATACTAACTGTTACCTAGTTAAGCCAAGTATAATGAAAAATGCTATTATAACAGTAAGTCAAGGCTATTTATAACAATAACTTTTACTTACAGATTATAGCGTGCTGACAATTAAAGTGGATTAGATCATTGACGTTTGCTTGACGGCTATTCCAATTTCATCGGAGCACTTTTGCTAATTCGATCACCAGATTTTTTTACTTTGTGTCTTCCCCTTTTTTCTAGCTCCGCAAGAACCTCAAGTGACAGTTGTCATTAGCGTAAGAAGCTGGAAGCAATATTATAGCAAAGATTACAACATCAAATTTGCTCTTAAATAGGATTTAGTTAAATGGTTAAGGACAGAAAGAACAATTCCTATCTTAACGTTTTGGGTTGGATAAAGACTTCTATTGCTACAGGCACATACACTGCAGGCTGCGTGCTTATCGCATTTAATTCTCTCGAAATTTACGAAATATAAAATATCACATGAAACCTGCTTCAAGACTGAATAAACCTCCTTTATATTTTAAAATTGGTTCTTCTCTAGACAGACATGATCTTTCCTACGGTTTCTCAGTTTGCTGTTGATATCGTTATTGTTCGAATTCGTCGTTGAACAAACTGATACATTTTTCAATAAACTGGTGACCTGCAAAAAAACAGGCTATTTTTACGTTCAGTACAAAAGTACTCGAATCACTCAACACAAAATATATCCCTCAATTGTATGTTTGCAATAAATAATAGCCGAAGCAATAAGCTCAACCGGGTTTAGTCCTAAACGTCAATATTTATCACAGACAACTTTCGCTAGTAGCTTCTTCTCATTTATTTAATGTTTATAATAGACAGTATTCCTACATTCTATTCTGCATGACAAAATAGCGAATTCGTGTGCGTGAGCAAGTTGTGCGACACTGGCACTGACAACGCGTCACCTTTATTTTGATGCTTATCAATGCAGCGGGCTGGATCCATTGAAGCGCCCTCTAGTGGAGTGAGCGCCAGACCGTTCCCTAAGTGCACTTTATAGCGGGCGCCGTACGCGCAACTGTTTGTTTACATTCGCTTACTATGTATGCCATTCTGCGTCGCCGACCACATTGTTCGCTTTGGTAGCAGTAGGTTATTCGTTGAATTAGATTGTGTATGTAAATGTGCCTGGCCAATATTGTTTATTTGGAATTAAATGTATAGTTTCTTCCTGTAAAAATACGTCGTCATAAGTTTCGACCATTGACGGTCAGTAAATGATCGAAACACAGGCTCTCCATTGTCGTGCAATCTTGAAATGAGCTGTCTTCAGTGGACTCTTACTACCTATGACACTTGCAACAAGGACAACATAAAGTGAAATAGTATGGCGACCTGGTCATGATAACATGATGGACCTTTTGAAAAGCAATAATATTTACGTAAGCATTTATCGAAGCACTGGTGTGGTTCGGTATGTGTATGCAAGTAAGGGACATATAGATTATTGTTGTGGCAAACTTTTTGTTCTAACTTCGTCGTTAACTTGGTTGATTCGGATGCCTGTTCTCACTTATTGTTGACTTACCCATATCTGTTCGTTACGCGTGTGTGTATATGTTGTTTGCAGGAGGAGTCTCTGCCGAGGTGATTACTTGTCCTCGGAAAACGGTCGCTCACTGCAGTAGCCGACTTGGCGCTGTTAACAATTTGCGCGTGAAGGTAAGACGGTTTTCATTTACTTAAATCATTACCATTCATAATACCCAATGTACTCCTGATGTATACCTCACACTGCTCACGTAACCGAATTACGTTTAAGGATTACCCAGAGATGTAGTTAGCCCAAACAAGTAAAGCGGTGGCAACTTACAGCCCTCATTCTACAAGCGGTTGTATGTATAAATATATATGTAGATCCGTTAAAAAAAAAAGCGAAAAGTTTCTGTTTCAAAACCTACGAAAAAAACCTGTGTAAATACAAAAAATATATATATATATATTTGACGGAAAGGGGGAAATATATGTTCATTAAATCGATGCTAACCCAGCACTCATGCATCAAGATAAGTCGGATGGTTGGGTGTGCCAGTTGTGTAGAAGTTGAAATGATCTTATGTGAAACAAAATATTATCGATACATCTGTATTTTTTTATCAATTGTATTATCTAAAAGCCAATCCGTATTGAAATGTAGTTGAATTTAATAGGTACGCTCAATTTTTAGATATAGTTGGAATCGTAGTAGACACTACTAAACAAATCCTATATAAAAACTATACATCTATCTATAATATTGTTATTACAAAATTTACTATCTACGTTATTCGGTGAAGGATCGTGTCAAATACAGTAATACAAGCGAGTGACGAAGTTCAGAACGCTTGCACTAAAAGGTCTTACCTGTTGTAGCACTGTAAAATAAGTAAACATTTGAATAATCTGGAAATAACAAGTTGTGGAGGTTTTTTTGGCTGAGACACCTATTGCTCTAAATAATTGTCGTCTAATGACTATATCTAATATTTGGGTATCAACATGTTGTCTACGATAATCAGGATTTTGGTTATTAATTGTGCCTATATTAAACACTTAGTTGGCAATAGGGCAATGAATATCTGAATGAATACGATCTTAAAAATATAATATAACATTATCGGCATTGTGTCTACGCTTCAAATGACATAGTACGTTGCATATTAAATAGCGATATATGGAATGTGCTAATCTCGTTCCTCTTCTATTTCTATAACTTTTTCTAATTTATCATATATTGTTTTATTCTGCTGCAACAGGGAGGAGGAGAGGTCGATCACGGTATTAAATTACCCGCGGCGTAAGCGTGCAACCCTGTTTCCTGATAACGTCTTCATTATCGTGAACCACACTAGCCCCGACTGAATTAGTCTAATCAAAGACATCGGCAACAATTAGCTACGGAACTCAGCAAGACGAACATGACTCTGGCATAATGCGTGAATGACCACATGTATTTTTTACGAATGCACTCGCCGTGAAACTGGTTCGTTGAGTGATTGAAGTAAGTGGTGGTCCAGAACTTCTGTCGTTTTGCAGTTCCCGACGTCCTTCGTTGTAACCGAGTGGAGCGCGGTGTTGAATGAAGGACGGAAGCGCCGTACACGACGAACCGCTTGTTTACGGCAACACGAGTCAATCTTTTGCATCATTGACATTTTAGCAGCACTTCGCGATATAAGCACATTCGATTTGACAATCGGCATAGCTGCCGAAGAGCTGAAGGTGTGACAGCAGGTGAATACTAGTCCTAATATACGAGGGCAGTTTAGGCCAAATATAAACGAAAATAACCAGACGAACACACATTTATCGGCCGCAGCTGTAACGCCGTTAACTAGTAATAGCAACAGCAGCAAAGAAAAGGTTGCAGAACGTGCATTTTCGTAGTAATTGACTAGGAAGTACTAAGAGTCGACACAATTGTACAAGAATAAGCACCGAAAGTAACAAAAGTGCGAGTGCAGCTAAAACGATCAGGCGATCCTGAACTAAGAAAACGACGTCGCAAAGGTGGTGAAGCGTGGGAAAGAAGGCGCAAGCAGTTGGTGCAGGAGGTGTGGGTTGGGGGAGGAGCAGTTAGTGGTCGGTCGGTCGAAGACAGAGGCGTCCCTCGCCCACAAAGACAACCGCACGTTTCGCGATGAGCGAGTTAGAGGCACTTCGCCAAGAGGCAGAAACCCTTAAGAATACCATTCGGGTAAGTGATTCAAATAATCGATAATCATATCGCCGGTCCAAGCCGCATATATAACATAATGATAACATAGAAGATGCATAATGCAGCAACACCATATGATCCACCAGATGATGAATACAAATATATGTATATATAATGGAGTTCTGCAGTTCCCTGTAGCCCTGCTCTATGGCCACGATATTTATCATTATTATAATCATCCAAGTAGTTATCATCGTATCTTCTGTATCGTAGGTTTTCTCTTACAAACTATCTTACTAAAAAGAAGATAACATAAAACCAACTCAGTTTTAAACGTAAAAGAAACGTTTCTGTGCTGCGATGACGTGGTGTAAGAATAGAAGATTGTGGATCTATCTAATCGCTTTGCTTTTGTTATCATTGTTGCTCTAGGATGCGCGGAAAGCCGCGTGTGACACGAGTCTGGTCCAGGCCACGGCAAACATGGAGCCGGTTGGCCGGATCCAAATGCGCACAAGACGAACATTACGAGGCCACCTCGCCAAGATCTATGCCATGCACTGGGGTAGTGATTCCCGCTACCTCGTGTCAGCCTCACAAGACGGCAAGCTGATCGTCTGGGATGCATACACAACAAACAAAGTGCATGCGATCCCTCTCAGATCATCGTGGGTTATGACTTGTGCCTACGCGCCGTCAGGCTCATATGTGGCCTGCGGTGGCCTAGACAACATCTGTTCGATTTACAGCCTCAAAACCCGAGAAGGTATATACACAGACTCACGACATATGGGTTACTGTGCCGTTTCATAAGGCTAATAAGGCAACTTATATAAAAGGAAATGTCGTTTGTTATGGTCAATTTATAGAGTTAAGTTTTCAATCGTTCTTGCTATAGTGGAATCTAATCTCATATGTCCTTGTTTGTTCACCAAAGCAGCATAGTTTGCATTTTTCATTTGAAAAAATTACCACTAGTTATTAGAAATGCTTGCTTGGAGAATCACGCTAAAATTAAACACAAATATATATATATATATATA